CTACTCCTCCCGCTGCTACCAAGGCTGTGTTAGCAGGTTCAAGAGGAATGTAGATTCTTCCCATGAGCAAGTGAATGTTGTTGTTGGACCCGTGCAGCTTCGGGAAGCTCACGCTGAGAGCAGGAACATTGGTAAATTTAAACATCTTTAATAACGCAAGGCTCTGTGTGTTGCTGTCTGTTTGCATTTCAGTTCAGACACGAAATCCAGCTCTGAAATGTGCTTTTGCTGGTTTATTTACAATTTGGATATAATTCTTAGGGAGGATTATTATTTTTTATTTATATAAAATAGCTGTATTCGATTTACAAGCTCTTTCCTATCACAGTTTAGATCCATTCTTTGTTCTGCGCATATGAAGTGGCAATTGATTAAGTTCTATGGGAAGAAGGATGAGATGTAACTAATCTGATTTATATTAATTTTCCTATTATTTCCTATTATTTCCATGCCTAATTTGCATGTCTGTTATTTATTTACAATCAATCTCTAGGTCCTTTTGGAAATGCTGTTTCTCAGTGTCCTGTAGCTGCTGTTTCCACTACCAGAAAGCAACATCTTAAGGTCATTGAGTATGATCATTACAGACTCACAGTTTCTCTTTAATTTCTTGCCACAATCTTTGCATGGCCACAGAATAATTTGTGAAATAATGTGAAATTTTCTGATCAGATCCAGATTAGAGCTTTTTAACTCAAATTCTCTTTGCCTAATTATCTTTGCAATTAACTAGCTCAGGGAAAAAACCAAAACAGTAAGTTTCTCTCCGACTCTTTTATGCACAGGGCTGGCCTCTGACATCCAAAAGGCAAAAGGGGGGACTCTGAGCTCAGAGCCTGCTGGCAGCTCCCACGTTCCTCTGGCTGTGACCACCGTGGTGCTGGTAGCTGCTGTTCTCACAGCGGGAGCATTTCTCTGGAAGAGGAGACTGCAGGAGGCCATCCCATACCAGAAACTGTGAGAGGCAGCTCCAGGCATGGAGGTGGAAGGACACTTTCACCAGCCACCTGCTTCGTTATTTGGGTTTGCAATCAGTGTGAAGGGCAGCTCTTACTTGGCTATTCCACCATCCAGACCACGTTTGAAGAATCAAGGTCACACCTGATGTTACCATGAACTGAATTTATAAAGCAACCTGATTTTAAAACTTAGGGTGTAAAGAAAGATTGTTTCTTTCATCCCAGCATCCAAATAATCATCTTCAGTGCTGGATGTTTCAGAGCTTTTCTGTTGAACTCCTCATTGAGTGTCTGTCTGAGAAGACTGAAATAGGTGACTTGAGAAACAAGAACTGATTTATTTGTCCCTTGTTGATATACAGATGAAACATCTGTGTAGCACCATAGACACACTGGGAAGTAGTACAAGAAAAATGCTTCTTTGCAGTAAAAAAATCTCAATAATGAGCCAGAGGCAGTAAAAAATCTCAATAATTATGCTCAGAGGCTGCACATGAAGAGTTATTGCTGTACAGCATTCCTGACTTTGGGAGATTAGTTCTTCCCAAATCCATATTTCCCTGAGTAAATGTAGGCCATTTATATGATTTTGTATGGAGGATGAATATAATCCCGTTACATAAATGTGTAATTAAAAACAACAGGAAAGAAAATGGGGTTTTGAGCAATACTTTTTTTTGTGTGCTTGCAAACATCCTGCTTGTATGTGTGAACTCATGGCTAACACAATGCCAGGTTGGAGAATGTGGCTTCTGACAAAGTGACTTTGCCAAGCAATGATTCCTGCTCTTGCTCTCACACATTTCTACACCTGGAATGGGTGGGAAGGAGAGAATGTAGGTAAGTTCCCATAAGGAAGTGTGACCTCTCTCCTATCCCCATGCGAAAACAAAATAAAAAACAATAAAAAAGGAAGAATTGCATTGGAAGAAGCTACGTAATGCAGGTGGAAAGGTCACTGGTATTGATTGAGAAATTCCCTTCTTGAGACGTTCCTGTTTTCCAGCCAGCTGTGAAAGAGGCAAGTTCATTTGGAACTGAGCAGTGTCAGATGTGCAAGGTGAGCCAAAGTGGTGACGTGTGAGGAAGGTGAGCTGTGCTCTTGGGTGACATCCTGACCTGACAAGGAGGATGAGGGCAGTTCTGACAGGAACCAGCCCCACAGCCTGCACCATTTGTTCCTTCGAGCTGCCCTCTCCTCCTGGTCCCAGGCAGGGTTGTCATCACCTCTCCATGATGTCAAGAAAAGATCACACAGGTAGGGGCTGGCACTGCACACACAAAGTGAGAAGGTTTTTCCACACTGGAGGAACAAGGATTTAGGGCTCTCCTCCCCCCTGTGCCTGCAGCCACCTTTGGAAGGCAGAGCACCTCAGAAGGCTGATCTGCCTTCACCTGTTCTCTTGTCCAGGCTCAGAGGAATCCAGCCATCTGCTCAGCACAGCAAGGACTCCCCTGGAGCTGGGCTTTCCTAACTCTGTAGAACAGGACCTTCCCCTCTCCCTTCCCAGACCTGCTGTATTCTCCTTCTTCCTGCTGCTGTGGTGTTGCTACCACACTATCTTGCAAGATACAGCTTGATGGCACTTTTTCCCACTTCTCCTATTCTCTCAGCATTATTTTCAGCAGACAAGCAGAAAGACTGCAGGCCTAGATCCTGGTGTCTCCAATCCTCAGCACCCCTGTGCTGTTCAGAGCTGAGTTTTCCCATAGCCTGTCTGGGCCAGGGCTCCCAGATGGAGAAATACCAAGGCTGGATAAAAATACAAGATAGAATTGCCAAGTTCCATATTAAATATATGGTTTCCATATTAAATATTGCTGCAGAAATTGTTGCCAAACTGTTTAGGTGGTAGATGTCTCAGACTCCTCCTCATTTCTTTCTATCTCCATTGATCCACAAGCATTATAGAAATGCAGAATTAAAGAAAACTGGGTCTGATGTGGAGGAAAGGGTCACATGCCTTGTGAGTGATCTCTCTACCACAAACCCTCCTGCCTGGATCCAGACTACAATTCCTTGTGGAGAAGGCTGTGGATATCCTTATTCCAGTGTAGATACTTTCCCATAATCATGGGTGAAAGCTGATTAATCTTGTTTGTCCTTTCACTGGTTCCATTTTTTAAAAACCTTTAAAAACCCTGTATTTTTGCAAAGTGCCCTCACAATTTTCAGCAGAAGAAAGGGTATTTTCACGGCTTAGTGTAGCTTCATTCAGAGTGATGTGCTGGGAAATACCTCAACCTGCCAGAAGAAGACCTTGAGAACACAAATGTGTTACTGCAAGAGATTTATCTAGGCAGTGGGAAGGGTGAAATACTGTATGGTATTTGCACTAAGCTTAATTAAAACAAAATATTTATCTATTTCCATTGTGCGCAGATTGTCTGATAATAAAGATCTCTAGAAATAAATAGATTTTTGAAATGTGTAATTTATTTTTGAAGAAGGTAATGAAGAACTAATCAGTCAATCAAACAATCATTCTTCATCTTTTACCTGGGCAGTTTAAGACCTTTTTTTGCACTTGAACCAGCTGGGAATCCCTTTTGTGTTCCCCTTCCTCCTCACCCTTTTTCAGTTATTACAAGGGTTTGGAGAAGAACTGCGATCCATCACTCACTCTTGCTTCACTGATTGCAGTGTTTGATTGGCCAGTCAAAGAAACTGGATTTTTCATTCTTGTCAGGGTGTCAAAACCAGAATATGAATAGTGAATACCAGGTGTTGTGTTGTGTACATATCCTCATTCATGTGCAAATATGGTTGTTTGGATAAAGAAGAAACATATTTACCATTCTGAATGTTCACTTTCAAGGCTTCCAAAGTTTTCTCTGGCCTCTTGTATTTTTCACTTCCTTCTTCCATTCCAATGATATTGGCCTTTGTGGAAAGATGTTTTAGATCATTCTCTTTTCCCCCCAGGCTTTGGTCTTCCTGCATGATGGCTGTCCCTGGAGGCAATAAATTCATATGTGGCAACAGTTTTAACTGGTGATGATTCCATGCAAGACATGATGGCTGTGGAGGTGGGGATGAGGTGGAGAACAATGTTCTGACTCTTCAGATGATCATCAGAGTTTCTTGTTAAATTGTAAGAAACACAGAAACAGAGGAAAGTAGCCACTCTGGCAAGAGAGTGATGAATGAGAATTGAGCATTATTTCATATTGTGGAAAAACCTTGGATACATTCTTCAAAGAATGATACAGCTGTTATTGTCACTATGTAAAATTAAACAAGGAATATATTAAGATGTTTTCTTAATCTGAAGAAATCAGGACTATTTTTCCCAATTTTTGGTTCAAAGGATCAAATGAAATTTTAGAACAAAATTAGTTTCAATCTACGTAATTTCCTTCACTATGCATGAAATCCACTGATTTTTTCCACAGTGTTTGCACAAAAAGTTATCAGTTGACCCTGATTCTCTGACATTTCCTTGCAATCTGTCTGTCAGTGAATTTTGACTGGAATTTTGGCTTGTACTTAAATGTGCCCCAAAATAATTGGTTTGTAAACAGGGCCACCAGGTCTGATCTTATTTTATTTAAAGCCTGCTGAAGCTTTAGGACATTTATGGCTCCCCAAGAGGACCTGCCACATTAGCTGGCAAGGGTCTCTTGCTATTTTGCTGGAAGAAACCCATTTAAGTTTCAAGATTCCACTACCAACCCAATACCTGACCAGGAACCTCCTCGTGAAAGAAAAATGCTGAGATGCATCAGCCAGGATTGAAAGGTATCTTTGGACAGGAGCTCTCTTTTTTTTTTGGTACAATAAGATGATTGTGAAACCTATGGTAGCATAAATAGTTCCTTCCAGGCAATGGAAAATGTTACTCTTGGGATATTGTCTTTTTGCAAAACCCAGGAAGTTACAAAATATTAAATAACAAATCAAACACATGTTTGTTTCAGATTAGAAGGCTGTGGTTGTTTTATTGTTCTGCTGAAGAAAAAGTGACCTGGAGCGCCACTCCCCTTCAGAAATAGAGACTATATATTGTGAGGTCCTCTTCACCAACAACACCTGGTGAGATGGGTACCACCATGATTTTGACATGGCTTCTCTTGTTGGGTCCAGCACTTCTGGAGGCCAAAACAGGTAAAAGACTTAGACTTGTTCCAGAGCACATAAAAAAAAATTATAAAGACTGTTTGGACTCCTCTCTGTTGATTCCAAGAGCAGAAATTAAATTCAGACTGGTATTGGTTTGGGCAAAACACTGGAAATTAAGGGATAGAGCAGAGTTTTGTTCTACTAAAATTGTGAACTAATCATCAGAGTGGATGATAAAAATTATTTGAACCATTTTGTGGAGTTCATTTTGCTGCCACAGGGTCCTACTCAACTTAGTGCCTTGTATCATTGCAAGAGTTGTGTCTGTGAGTATGTAATGAATGAGGTATTCTTCCAGTTCTAGAAATCTAATCTAAAAATCATGGAAATATTATTTATTTACTTATTTTATTCTTATTTTCTTTACTTATTTTCCCTGCGTATTTGATTCCAGAGTATATGAGTGCATACATATGCTATATATTTAATAGTGCTTGTATTATTTGGTTCTTCTGGTATAATGTACAATTTAACAAAATATAACATGAAGTTAGGTTTTCACACTCTAGAACTGTGGTTAAATGATGGACATCTAAAAATTATGAGAGATTAAATACTTTTAGTTCAGCTTTTTTTATGATCACAGAATTTTTCCTTCCATGATTACTTTCTGTCTCCTGAGTGGTTTGGGTGACTTTGAATTAATAGTTCTGTGTATATCTTAGAATAATTGCTGATGACTTTTCTAATGAGTTATTTAAGCTTCGTGATGATAATTTATATTGCCACCATTCACCTCATCAATTCTCTCCATCTGTCTCCTGCTTTTCTGGTGATAACTCATCTCACTGGCTGCTCTGGTTCTTCTCTGCCTCTGTGTGCCAGAGCAGAGTACTTGCTGTATTTGTATAATCACAGGCTTTTGTCTTTTTGATACCTTTGAAGTGTGAGGAAGGATTCATCCTATCCAATTTCATCCCCAGTTGATGGTTATGCTCTCACAGTGGTGGCAGACCTTGAATGAAAGCAAATAAAACTGGCTTAGGTTGGCTTTCATTTCCTAATCCCACTCTGACTTTTTGCCAGGTTTGCTGTTTCATTTCTCAAAAACCCTGTGAGTAGGGTTCAAAAATGTGTGTTCAAGTGAATATTTGAAGGAACAAGTCAGATATAAGTCAAGGGGCACTTTTATAGCTTTGCCCTTTGAAAATCATACAAATCAAGGCAAATTTAGTTTGGTCACCATCTTGACTGTACTTCTGGATCAATAGCAAAGAATTAGGAGCAGTGAAGAAATCCTGGAGGTGTTAACTTTAGAAATTTGTTTTGCTTTGGATGACTTAGTGTTTAATAATAAGGTAAATATATACTTGGCAGCAATGTAAAATATAACAAGTACAGCTGCACTTTTGATTTCCAGAGTGTAAATACTGCAAATCCAAAGTTACAACATTTATTTGCTTGCTTACACTTGACAGTAAAGCCTTTAATAAACTTATTCATCAAAAATGGATCTCTAAAATCAGGATTTTCATGCTGGTCACACCACAATGTCTAAACAAGACATAAAAAACTGAAAAGCAGATGGGCTTTACCTGAATGAATGCAGTAATCAGCTGTATACAGGATAGGTTATTTCTTTATTTCAAAATGTCATAACATTTTACTGGTACATAAGAAACAAAGCCACTGAACTCCTATTAAAATCTTTATAATTCTGTTGAGACCACCATCTATTCTGAAGAACATTTGGTGGAATTCTTCCACTAAAGTTACTCTTATAAGCTATTGGATTTGGTGACGTGTGGACTCTTGGTCCTCAAATTTATCCCAAAAATTTCTTTTATTGCTTAAACCACTTGTGCTTAGCCTGCTGCCTAACTTTGCTGCAGGGATCTTGCATAAAACACAGGTGGCTGATTTTGAGAACTGGAAGAGAGGAATAAAAAAGGAACAAATCACCTCTGTCCTCACAAGCACTTAATAATGGGCTGGGCAACACCTTCTAGGGACAATAGGGGAAGAAGGCAGAATAGATGCTCCTTCCAGTCCCTTCCAGCCTATTTCCCTGACCATTTTGTGCCCATGCCCTCTCTCCCAAAGCTCCCTACGTCCATCTGGTGAACGGAAGGCACCGATGTGAAGGTCGTGTTGAGATCTACTACCGAGGACAGTCGGGGACAGTTTGTGATGACTTCTGGGACCTCGCGGACGCCCAGGTTGTGTGCAGGCAGCTGGGGTGTGGCAGGGCCATTGCAGCTCTAGGAAGTGCCTACTTTGGGCAAGGCTCAGGGGACATCGTGCTGGACAACGTGAGGTGCAGTGGAAATGAGGTGTCCTTGCTGCGCTGCAATCACACTGGGTGGAGGATCCACAACTGTGCCCACTATGAAGATGCTTCTGCTGTCTGTTCAGGTACTCCCACATTTTTTCCTCCCCCTAGTCTTGTTCTTTCACTCCACTGATCCTGCAAAACTCGTGTTTTTCTCATTATGTAAAAACTGTGCTTGCTCATCCATGCAAAGCAATTAAAAACCCCAAGGATCAGATATGCATTGCTGATATGCAGGACAATTATTCCATCTAATCACCTGGCAGTGGCAATAAGGAAACAGTTCAAAATTAGAAGCAAAGCTGTATCTGATAGGCAAAGTTTATCAGGGAGGAAGGGGGTTAGGTGAATTCTTAATGGATTTGTTATGGGCAACAATAATTTCACAATCACAGCTCAGATTGTCATAGCTCACAATTCACTTTGGATTGTTTCCACATTTTTCAAGTCTTCCTTCCTTAATGCCTTTTTCCTTTGCAAATATCCATTCATTTGGACTACTCTTTCACTTTGCTGTGTTCATTTTACTTTCATATTATTTTTAGGAGAATGTGAGTTGTTTATATCTTATTTTCGCATGTATTAACAACTGATCATCATGAACTGAGACATGGCTGATGACATCAGACTATTCAGGTGTTTTGTATCTGTATTGCAGTTTTCCATGTTTCCTTAGGGAGTAAGAGCCTGGAGAGCTGAATCCATGCTGGAAAGAAGTGCTAACTACACCAGTGTTTTTCACTTAGAAGAAAAGAATAAAAATTGCTACCAGACCTGTATTAATCTATGTGTGGTGTGTTCAGAGCCTTTTAAAATGCCATTTATTTCTTGCCTGCATTCATAGCTCCAGTGCCTTCTACGAGCTGGATGTATCCAACAGATGATTCAGCCTGGCCCACTCCTGCCCTTGCACCAAGCATCATCCCAAGACCACTGCCCAAACTGCTCCTGGGGATGTCCTGATCCTCTGCAGAAGGGCATTCACAATGGGGACAGGTCCAAGCCCTGCTGCTGCCAGCAGCCCCACAGCTCCCCCCTCCCTAGGAGCCTGTGGAGTCTCAGGCTGTGCCTGGGTAGTGGAGTCCTGGGGCTGGGAGTAGATGTCACCCCTGAACCTTACCCTGCTTACCATTTGGAAATACCACTTCCAAGATAAATTTTAAATTGTCCGTTACCCACCTCTAGTCTCTCCATTGACCCCAGATAAGAAGGAATATCCCATCAGAGTAATTGCTCTTGATTTCACTTCATCCTTGAGGATTTGTGCTTGTAGCTACTACACAGACATATCCATTGCACAGTGCTCATGTGTGGGGTGGTTTTCTTCTTTTTTTTTCACAGAAGAGTCTGATTCAAAACAAGCAGAGCCAACATCAACATATACAACATATTCAGCGCTGGAGACAACATCCACAGAAGGGACAACACCCATAGAACCAATGACGTCTCCAGGAGAGACATCAATGTCAGCATCAACAGTCTTCACAGAGGAGACAATGTTCCCTGGGGAGATGGCCACCACAGTGCCAATGACAACCCTAGAGGTCACACCCAACTCATGGCGAAAGACCTCCCCAGAAGAGATGTCTGCTCTACCAGAGACCTCTGCCCTACCGCTGTTGCACTCACTGCCTGACATGATCACCACAGTGAGATTGGACACCACAGTGGAGGAAAGCACAACAGGTAACCCTGCCCACTGTCACTCACTGTTGTCTTTAGTGCCCCTGGTCTTCCTTCCCAGGCCTGACTGCACTGCAGGGACACTCCCAAAATGACAGGAGAGATTTCTGTGCTCCCTTCTCCCATTATTTGTCCAGCTCTGCTTTTCATGCCCATTCCCATGTCCACTGACATTGCACTAATGACCTCTTTAGCAGGAATGCCCAGCCCAACATCTCCGACCAGCGCAGCACTACCCACCAGCACACCAGAGATGTCCACCTCAGCAGAGATGACCACCACAGCGGGATCCAGTGCCACACCAGAGATGTCCAGCTCAGCAGTGATGTCCAGCTCAGCAGTGATGTCCAGCTCAGCAGTGATGTCCACCTCAGCAGAGATGACCACCTCACCGGAGACGACCACATTCACAAGGATGATAACCTCACCATTGTTGAGCACCTCAGAGACAGCTATGAGAGAAGAGGAGAGCACACCAGGTAACCCTGTCATCTCTCACTCATTGGTCTCCTTAATGCTCCTGACCTCTTTCCTGAGTGACCCTAACCCCTGACACATGTCCCGTTGGTGGATTTTGGTGCCCTCCCTTGGAAGTAGACGTGCTGACCTCTCTTGGAAGATGTGGGGCAAAGCAGCAACCTTGGTGCTTTCTGTTGCTTGGTGAGCTGAACATGTGCCAAGAAAAAGCCCTGTTTGCACAAAGAGAGCACAGCAGACTCTCCTGGCCTGCAGGAATAGGGTTTCAGAGAGGTGGCAAGGAGCAGGACAGAGGGGGGACAGAGCTGGGAGGCTGGGGAACGATTCAGGGCACTTTGAGCTGGTGTCTCTATGGGAAATGACTAGATAGAGTTTCACCCTCTCTACCACCATTAATCATACATCCTTGCCTATCATACCAAATGCTATGGCTGCTGTAAGAATTACCTCCCTAGCAGGGATGCCCATGATAGAGCAGAAGATAGAGGAAACAGCCCTCATAGCAGAGATGACCACCTCAGCAGACACAACCACCTCAGGAGAGACGACAACCACCTCAGTAGAGACAACCACCTTAGCAGAGATGACCACAACCTCAGCAGTCACACCCACCTCAGAAGGGCCACCCACCTCAGAAGAGCTACCCACCTCAGTAGAGACAACCACCTCAGCAGAGACAACCACCTCAGCAGAGACAACCACTTCAGAAGAGACGACCACTTCAGCATGGACTGCAAGAGGGGAAGGGAGTCCACCAGGTAACCTTGACCACTCTCACTCACTGTTCAGTGTGCGAAACAGCAGAGTCAGGATGGTGATTTGAGATGAGTCAAAGAGCTCTGCAGGATGTTGTAGGAACACAGGACAGGGGCACCTAGAAAATGCACTCCACTCATCTACATGACTTGTGCTGATCTGTTTGGAACCTTTGTCATTGACACCAAATTCTTCCTTGCATCCACAGCTCCAGCACCCACCACATCCAGGCCATACTCCACAGGTAATTTCAGCTCCCCAGCCGCATGCAGCAGCCCTGTTGCAGTGGCCCATGTGGGCAGAGCAGAGTGCTGGGCTGGCGTGAGCTTGTCCTTGTGCTTTTTTCCGTGTGCCAGGGCCCAGCGTGCGGCTGTCGGGCGGCAGGAACGGCTGCGAGGGCCGCGTGGAGCTGTACGACGGCAGCTCGTGGGGCACGGTGTGTGACGACCAGTGGGATCTGCAGGATGCCCAGGTGGTGTGTCATCAGCTGGGCTGTGGCCAGCCCCTGGCTGCGCTGGACACTGCACACTTTGGCCTGGGCTCCGGCCGCATCTTCCTGGACGACGTGCAGTGCCGAGGGGATGAGCCCTCCCTCCAGATGTGCCGGCACAACGGCTGGGGCGTGCACAACTGCAGGCACGTGGAGGATGCCAGTGTCATCTGTGCAGGTGCGTGCCCAGCAGAGCCCATCAGCTCTCCAGCAGCTCACACCAGATGGGTTCTGGTGTCCTTCATGGGAAGCAGCCATGCAAAGTGTCAAGGAAGAGAGGACAGCCTGGGGTTTTCTGCTGTCTGGTGCTGAAATGTGTGTCATGCACAATCCCCATTTTTGCACAGAGAGATCAGAACAGGCTCTCCAGTCTCACAGGTGTAGGTGCTCCATGTGGTGGCAAAGAGTAGGTTGGTGGGATCACGGCATGGGCTGTACCCGGGACGTGTCAGGCTGGTGTCTGGATAGGTCAATGGCAGGAGTTCCATGCCCTTTCATCCCTTTATTCCTTGAGCCTAGCATTTCCAAGTCCATGTCCACGTCCATGCCATGTCCACATTCATGCCATGTCTATGTCCATGTCCATGTCCATGTCCATGTCCATGTCCATGTCCATCTTCTGCCACAAGTTTGCTGCCTTTAGGACTCTTTCATACGCTTCCTCTTTTTCCTTGCAGCTGCCAATCCAACCCCTCCTGCTCAATGGCCGTACACAACAGGTAATTCCTTCCCATCCAGCATATCTCCAATTTTATAGTGAGCCCCACCCTGGCACAAGAGGAGAAGAGAAGGAGCCTGCTGGGCTGAGCCTGCTAACTGCAATGCTGCTGGTCCCTTCTGCCTTAGCAAAGAGTCTTGTCATTTGAGGGCTTCTGCCAGGGAGGATCTGAGCCTCAGCAGAACGGCAGCTGCAGTGGTGCTGAGTCCAAGCCCTGGTCTGCCAGACGCTCCATGGCTCCTGGCTGTGGGGAAGCAAGTACCAAGAGGACGGGGGCAATCCCTTCTCTCAAGCCCATGTGCTTGCCAGCCTAGCCCAAAACATAAATATCTGTCCTGATGCCAGGTCATGGCTGTTCCTGTTCAGCCATCAAGCAGAGGTGGCCAGTTCCTTGTGGATACCCTGCCAGGGTCCATGGCCTCAAATGCCTGCAAGATGTATGAGTGGTATGGGGGGAGATCACATGATCATAGTGTGTAAAAATGGCTTTTTGGCAAATGCCCCCAGCAGCTCCCAGGATCCCCCAGCTTTTCTCATGGGATTTCCCAGCAGATCCTTGCTCATCAGCCTTCCATGCGCCTGGGGTCTTTGCTCTCTCACTCCCCTTTCTTGGTCTCTTTAGGTTTGCACCACCTCAAAATCAAAGTCAGTCTCCAAATCTCCAAAACATTAGGGGAGGTGTGGGCCGTGGATTCTGGGGTGTTGGAAACCTGACATTGTGCCTTAATCCATGTGCCAGGGCCCAGCGTGCGGCTGTCGGGCGGCAGGAACGGCTGCGAGGGCCGCGTGGAGCTGTACGACGGCAGCTCGTGGGGCACGGTGTGTGACGACCAGTGGGACCTGCGGGATGCCCAGGTGGTGTGCCACCAGCTGGGCTGTGGCCAGCCTGTGGATGCCCCGCAAAATGCTCGCTTTGGCCCGGGCTCCGGCCGCATCTTCCTGGACGACGTGCAGTGCCGCGGGGACGAGCCCTCCCTCCAGATGTGCCGGCACAACGGCTGGGGCGTGCACAACTGCAGGCACGTGGAGGATGCCAGTGTCATCTGTGCAGGTGCATGGCCTTTTGCATGTCACTCCAAGTGTGTTCTGGGTTTTCTGGGAACAGCCAAGCTGAGTTCCCTCGGTAAGGCCGGGGCAGAGGCTGTCACCAGGGGTCTTCTGCCACCAGGGGCTGAATCCTGTGCATTTTTACACAGAGAGGGCACACTGGGTTTTCCACACTTCCTGCTTTAGAGGCTATATGAGGGGGTAAAGAGCCGGAGGGTGGAATTGTTCTTTGGTGAGGATTGGCTGGACTGGGGACAGGTCTGGCTCATATATGGATGGGGGGAAAGGCAGGACCCAAGCTCTCTTCACTCTTTAGTACTACAGCCTGAACTTTCATGTCCATGTTCATGACCATGTTCACACTCAAGTCCATACATTGCCACAAGCCTTATTACGTTTTTGTTAACTCCCTCTTCTTCTTTCAGCTGCCAATCCAACCACTCCTACTCAATGGCCACTCACAACAGGTAGGTCCTGCTCACCCATCTTATACCCAGTTTCAAAGTGAGGCCCAGCCAGGCACAAGATAAGAAAAGGGGAGTCCAACAGTGCTGATTCTGCTCAGTCCAAGGCTGCTGATCCCCTTGGCCCATGACAACTCCAGGGGGCTTAAAGGGTCCCCCTCGGTGTTGGTTTGCTCCCAAAGGTTGCAAAGAGTTTTGCTGGAAATGGCTAAGCGAATCCATGACTTCTGCAACCAGGCAGCTCCAACAGGACACCAATAGGTCCCTGGGCAGGGCTAGACTGCTGTCTGTATGCCTAGAGCCTATCCTCGGTTACAAAGCCCCCTAATCCTTTTGGGTCTACACTAATCCAGTACATGATCACTGTAGCAAAACCTGCCAAGCAGTAGGGAAGTTTGGGGGAATGGGTGCAGAGCTGGAGGAAACCTGATGTTGTTGTCTTTTTCCGTGTGCCAGGGCCCAGCGTGCGGCTGTCGGGCGGCAGGAACGGCTGCGAGGGCCGCGTGGAGCTGTACGACGGCAGCTCGTGGGGCACGGTGTGTGACGACCAGTGGGACCTGCGGGATGCCCAGGTGGTGTGCCACCAGCTGGGCTGTGGCCAGCCTGTGGATGCCCCGCAAAATGCTCGCTTTGGCCCGGGCTCCGGCCGCATCTTCCTGGACGACGTGCAGTGCCGCGGGGACGAGCCCTCCCTCCAGATGTGCCGGCACAACGGCTGGGGCGTGCACAACTGCAGGCACGTGGAGGATGCCAGTGTCATCTGTGCAGGTGCGTGCCCAGCAGAGCACTCTGGCTCTTTTACATGTCATTCTAACAGGGTTTTGGGTCAGGCCAGGGCAGAGGTGAGGACTGGGGTCTTCTGCTGCCTGGGAAACAAGACCATGCCATCCAAAATCCCCATTCTTGCACAGACAGGGAACAGCCGGATCTCCACAATTCCTACTGCTGGCATCCACTGATGGGGCAAAGCTGTGGATTGAGGGATTGTTCTTTAGCAAGGATGGGGCAGGACTGGGGAGAGGGCCGGCTGGTGCCAGGATGGGGGAAAGGAAGGAAAGAGCTCCACCCACTCTCCTGGCATTAGGCCTCCATCTCTGCTGTTCATGGCCATTGCCATTGAACTCATCACCTTCCCAACTTACAGAGACATCCACCCCTCTGGAAATGACCACCACAGCACCAGCCCCTGCCACAGCCGAGGAGTCCAGCCCAGCACTGCTGACCACCACAACCACAACAGCTACCACAGCAATGAGCAGCACACCAGGTAACCCTGTCCTCTCTCACTCACTGCCCTACCCTCTCCTACTCATAGTCCTTGCCAGAATTGGTTGCCCTGCAGGGAGTCTCCCAGCCCTGGGCCTCTCCAGTCAGACCACCCAAAACTAAAGTGAGGATGCAAAGAGAGCATGGGGAAGAGCTGGCAAATGGGGCAGCTGTGCTTTGAGTCTTGAACTTTGTAGCTGTTCATAGTTTAATGAAACTCTGCAGAGGGATTACCTCCCACTGGAACCAGGAGAAAAAAATTCATTCTGCCTTAATTGCGTCATGTCCTGCATGGGTAGTACCAGAACTATTTCCTAGACATGCTCTGGCACTGGGGATGGGGGTGGAGGAAACAAAGCTGCTGACTTAAGTATTTTGACATTCAGGAGAGGTCTCTGTGTGCATGAGGGTCCTCTGTGAAACAGCAGTCAGGACGGTGATTTGAGATGAGTGAAAGGACTCTGCAGGATGTTGTAGGAATCACAGGACAGGGGCACCTAGAAAATGCACTCCACTCATCTACATGACTTGTGCTGATCTGTTTGGAACCTTTGTCATTGACACCAAATTCTTCCTTGCATCCACAGCTCCAGCACCCACCACATCCAGGCCATACTCCACAGGTAATTCCAGCCCCCCAGCCGCATGTCTGGCCTTGCAGCAGCCCTGTTGCAGTGGCCCATGTGGGCATAAGCAGCTGCCTGGACAGGGCACATGTGCCATCTCCATAGTCAGTCGTTCCTCAGCCGCTGTCCTCTCCTACTCTTTGGAGTCTGCATCACCACAGACTATGGCCACTGTGACCAAATCACCAAAACAGTAGGGGAGGTGGGGAGGACTGTGGATTTTGACTTGCAAGCAACTGCCTAGACAGGGCACATGTGCCATCTCCATTGTCAGAGTCTTTCCTCAGCCACTGTCCTCTCCTACTCTTTGTAGTCTGCACCACTACAGACCATGGCCACTGTGACCAAATCGCCAAAACAGTAGGGGAGGTGGGGAGGACTGTGGATTTTGACTTGGAGAGACCCCAATCCCTGCCTTGTTCCATGTGCCAGGGCCCAGCATGCGGCTGTCAGGCGGCAGGAATGGCTGCGATCTCCCCTCTGCTCCTGATATCCCTCACCAGAGCTCATTGTCCTGCAGGGATTCTCCCAGCCCTGGGCCCTCCAGTTAGACCACCCAAAACTAAAGTGAGGATGCAAAGAGAGCATGGGGAAGAGCTGGCAAATGGGGCAGCTGTGCTTTGAGTCTGGGAATTCTGCAGCTTTGAGTCTGGGAATTCCTCTTGTTTAATGGAGCTCTTTGCAGAGGGACTGCCTCTCACTGCAACCAGGAGCATCATGCCCAGGGATCAATCTGCCTTCACCCCTTCAATTCCTGCATGGGTCATACCAGAGCTGTTTCCTAGACATACTCTGGGGCTTGGCACCTGATCAGAAGAAATGAGAATATGATCATTTGTAGTGGAGGCAACTTGGTCTCCTGTGGAACTCATGGCCCTCTGTTCCTCACTTGCTGTTTCTACCTCCCTGCCTCCCTGTGATCCCCATTTTATCACTCAAGGTGAGGCCATGTCCAGGCCCCAGCTCCTTTCTCATAAACTGCATTTCTCACATGTCTCTCTTCTTCCTTCACACCCACAGCTCCAGTGGCCACCTCAACACCTCCACCAGGTAATGCTCTGCTGTGGCTCTTCTCACCTTGCTAATTTGTGGTCTGTCTGTCTCCCTGTTGCACATTTCTGTAAATTTGTCTTTTGTCTCTATGACAGTATTGCTGCAAGTGTGAGTGATCTTTTTCAAGCAGAATACAAAATGGATTTTCATCTTTAGATGTCGCATCTTGCAGCATTTCTATTCAAAAGTTGTGCCCACCTTCCTACAAAGATGCTTTTAGAATTACCTGTGACAAAAATTATGTCATTCATGCTGGCAGGAACACTAAAGCTTTTTTGCAGCTATATTTGAAATGCTTATTTCACTCTGAGACCAGAAAATTGCAGTTTTCTAGAAAAATTCCAACCTCCAAAGACCTTAGGGGAATAAAGAGAAGCAGCAGAGTAACTGGTGAGAGGCTGTCTGTTGAGGAAGGTGTTTCCATTTCAACTGTCATGACACCTCCCAGAATTGACCTCAACTCTAAAAGGGACAGAAATCATCCAGGTGTTACCAGCGCAGCCTGAAGAGGGTAGTCTGACACCATGGATGGAAATCCACCCCTGAGGGAATTCCAAATACAACATGAAAGCAAACCTAAAGCAAAAACAAATATTAGTTTTGATTCAGGTCCTATAGTTTACCACCTGCAGTCAGCAGGGAACCTGCTTTTCATAGCTGTGGATGAGGCACATACAGCTCAAGTACACTTTTGCAGAGATTACTGTAAGTAAATTCTTTCCCATTTCTTTCTGCAGCACTTTATTTTTGTGGTGGCTCAGTCTCAGATTCCTCTGGGGTGCTGGAGAGTCCCAACTATCCTGGAAATTATCCAAACAATGCTGACTGCGTGTGGGAAATACAAGTGGAGAACAATTTCCGTGTAACGCTCACATTTAGAGATATTGTGTAAGTAAAACATTGATTCCCTGGGCAAATATGAGTCAAAACTTACTTGAGGAGTTTGAGATCTTATCTGAAACAACCAACCTTCCCAATTTTAAAGATACTTCCAATAATGTCCACAGTTGGAAGACTAGGTCAAAATCTGGATTGATGTTGCATTTTTTACTCACAATTTTCTGCTAAAGCTGCATAAAAGCCAAATTAAATTTGTGCTGAGAGAACTTTAAAAGCTGAAAGACTTTATCACATGTTAGGCAGTGAAATCAGAGTTTCTGAAATGGATTTGACAAAGTGCTGATATTTTTATACCAGGATGCAAAGCGGAACGTGCCAGCAGGACTACATTGAAGTCTATGATGGACCTCTCCACTCTTCCCCTCTTCTTGGGAGATTCTGTTCTGGTTCCTTTCCCACATACGTGTCCTCTTCAAACATGATGAGTGTTCGCTTCCACAGTGATTCCAGATACTCCTTCAGAGGGTTTCAGGCTCACTACTCCTCCATTCCAGCAGGTCACAACACCAGTAAGTTCCTGGCCAGTGTTTCTCAACAGACAAGCCTATTTATTGCTTTTCTTTGCAGAATAAATATCTGTGTAAATGTAAAGATTGTTGTGGAAATTGAATGCGTGAAATAGAGTGGGTTAGGGTGGGAACTGCCTGACTTCTAAATTCAGAAAAAAAACTGCCTCTAATCATTACCAAATTCCTAAAGTCACACATATATTGTACCTTCCTGTTCTACCAGCCATTCAGTGCTTGCCAGACTACATGCACATAGTGGTCAGCAGAGACTACCTCCAGTCCCAGGGCTACTCAGCACAGAGGGTCACGCTGAACGACAACCGCTGCAGACCGACAGTCACCTCACAGGAGGTTGTATTCAACATCCCCTACAGCGGCTGTGGGACAGTGCAAGAGGTACACTCCCTGGTTTGGGCACTCAACTGCATATCTAAGCTTGGCAAGACTTAGATGGAACGTGACAAAAGCGCGGTTCCTGATCTTTAAATTGCATCCTTAAACAGGAGAACAACGACACAATCAACTACTCCAACACCATCAGGGTCGCATCTTCCGGGTATGTAATCAAGAGGAAAAAGAACATCAACTTGCATGTCAGCTGCAAAATGCTGAGGAAGAGCTGGCAGCAGGTGGTGTATGCTGCTGAGGACACGGTGGATGTGGACGAGTACCAGTTTGGAAGATACAACATGAACATCACCTTCTACGATTCCCCAGCGTTCCGGCGCCAAGTGCGCGGCTCTCCCTACTACATCGACCTCAACCAAAACCTCTACCTCCAAGCCTGTCTTCACAGCTCAGACCCAAACCTGAAGGTGGTTGTGGACACGTGTGTGGCATCACCTGACCCTCGCGATTTTAACACGCTGGCCTATTACTTAGTCAGGAATGGGTAAGAGCTTTCTTCAAAGCTGGAAGCACACCTGTTGTCCAAATTTATTTTCCAGTTGGAATGGGGTTAGAACTTGCCATCAACAGATGGTGAAAAGTAGTCTTTGATTTTTTTATTTCTGCAGTATTAGTTTAGAAATAAGAAATTATATTTAGACCTTACTTTCGTTTCACTTACTCCATCTTTGTTCTGTGAACAAAATTTGAAGTAGTGGGAGAAAAGTAGATGGCCCAGTGAAAACTGGCAGTAGGAATTTTCATCCTGGGAGTTAAATATTTAAGTAAAACCAGGTCAAGCATTAGACTAATTTTTTGTGCCTTGTATAACACCGACATTAATAACAGTCTGTTATTCCCTCTTCGTCACTTAAAGTGTCCTTCTTTTGGAAAAAGAAGAAAAGTTGCCAACCCTCCAGCTGCTTCACAGTACTTATTTTTAAAGTCCATACTATGCTATGCTATGAAGGTTACTTTTTTATCCCACTGCTTTCCTAGTACCCGACTATGATATAATTCAGTTTTAATCCAAATTTTTCAGGAATTCATCATAATGAATCGAATCATTTGAATTTTAGTTTTGCAGGAATGCACTTGTGCACATCCGTGAAGACTAATTCCCTTCTTTTGCTCCTTTCTAGGTGTCCTAGAGATTCTTCCTATGCCACGTACTACTCCCCTTCCAGCCACTTTGCTCGGTTCAAGTTTAACGCCTTCGAGTTCATGAGCCGGCACCCGTCGGTGTTCCTGAAGTGCCAGATGCTGGTCTGCAGGCTCGGGGACTACTCCTCCCACTGCTACCGGGGCTGCAGCTCCAGGGCCAAGAGAGACACCAGCTCTGCTGAGGAAAAAGTGGATGTGGTGGTTGGGCCCCTTCAGCTCCGAGGAGGGGATGCTCTGAGTGGGAACACCGGGAAAGACGAATAAATTTCTCTCACATTTGCTCTAGGGTGACCAACGGGATTCAAGAAAAGCCACAGCTCTGTCGCCTCTCACTGAAATCTGCTTTTGCCAACTTTGCTATAAAAAGGAAGAGATCCACAGCTTGCAAGCTTCTGCTTTCACTAGCATTTTTAAAAAGTGTAACTTCCCTGGCTGTCCCAAAGGAGAGTTCCCTGTAACCCCCTTTTTAGTGCTATGACTCCTTGAATTGTGCTAATTAGCTCCAGTCTGATTGTGGATTTGAAGGCACTTGGGGATATGGTTTATTGGTGGACTTATCTGTGCTAGTTTAATGGTAGGACTCGATAACCTCAAAGGTCTTTTCTGACCTAAATGATCCCCTGATTCCGTGACAGCCAGCTGGGAGCAAACTCCCAGCTCTCTTAAGAAATATTTAATTCTCTCAGTTGTTTTCTGCTTATGAAGTTTACTCAGCCGAGTTGTCATCCCTGCTAATATGAAGCCTGTCCAAATAGTTGAAAGCAATGAATCTGTGAGTTTGCTTATTTCTGACTTTGATCTGGGAGCCATCCTTTAACACTGGAGCTCTTTGTGCCTTGACCTTCAATAAGCTGAGATCAAACCCCAAAACCTTTCACTCATAGGGCTGGGCTCTTCCAGCAACCAGAATTGTGGCTATACCATATTCTAATTCCTCTGAGTATTGCTTTTAGTGCTATATTTCTCATTGAAACAATGATGGGTCTGTGCTTATTTATAAAATGCAGAGATTTCCAAGCTAAAATTAATCTGTTCTGTGAGCAGTGTAGTTTATAATCAAAGGAAGGAATATTCACAAAGCAATAAATCTATTCTGTCTCTCAAATTAATGTCTCTGTGCTTAAAATACAAATGTTTTACTGTCTTGAAGAGTGTGGTCGGTTTGATTAAAAATTCCAAGTGATGGTCTGAGCCCCTGCTTCTGAAACACTACACAGGGGACTTCTAGGTATCTTAATCTAAAAATTATTTCAATATATTATAAAATAAAATTATAACTATTATATTATATAAATTATATTAAATATGTAATTATAGTAAATGTACTATTATAAATATTATAATTATAAATATTTCCATATCTTCCCCCTGCTGCTGACAATTCCCTCACACTGGTGGTTGGTGCTGTCACCCTCCTGGCAGTTGTTGTTTCTGTTCTTGATGGTTTTCCTGCAAGGCTGGCACTGAAGGAGCTGCTTTCTCATGGGATAATGCCAGAGCAAAGGTCAGCATCACTCACTGCATGAATGCAGGGCAAACCTTACACATTATGAGCCACCAAAATGCTTCACTGATGACAGTCTCACATGTGCCATTTGTGGGAAGCTGTGATTTCTTTATCTACAATAAATCTGCAATCCTGCAATCTACAATAAATTCTTCTACAATGCCTTAGAACAGCTTTGTAATCCTAACATCTCTTACAGGATTAAGAAACAATTTCAACTTTCATGCCACAAGTTGTTTAGCACAATTATTTTATCATTTTTCTCCTCTTTAATTCTCCTCTCACATCATTCTAAAACCATTTATCTAATGCCTCATAATTTTGTGAGCTGGAGTGAAAATGTGAGTGAGGCATCAAGAAATATTTCAAGGTTTATTGAAAGGAAGGAAGATTTCATTTGCTGAGAATGGATCATCTCTGAAAAGGAAATGTAAAAATTGATCTTACTACAGGAACTGGATTTGTGGTTATACAATATTCTAATTATTTTGAGCATTGATTAATATCTTTTCCATTAAGTTTTAACTTCTCTAGATTGAAAAAATCCAAATTCAAAATATGCTGAGCTGTTAAAGATGTTTTGTTTGCAGTCTTTAAGGCTGAAACTTAAAGGCTTGTATATCAATTCTAAAGGTTTGTTATATCAATTTTTAGCCTTCCCATAACATACATTCTAAACCAGGCTAAAACACAAATGTCATCCAAGAGATTGAGTCTCAGCCAGGAGACTTTTCATCTCTCACCCAAATGTCAGCCAAGAGGCAAAAGATATTTCATGTCTGCTTTCCAGAAGGAAGAGTTTTGTTCAATTTTTATTACTTTTGGTTGCTGATCACAAAACTATTTAATTATTTTTTTCCCTCTGTGGTTGAGTGCTTTGCAGTTGTGAGGAGTTTGGCTTCTCAGGACTTACCCAGCCTCTAAGAATGTCTTGTGCACATTTATAAATCAGACTGAAATATGCTGGAAATGCAAACAGCCAATTGCCACATAAACATTTATCACTGATGCATGAAAACATGAAAAGCAAGACCTGGGATTTCTTGCCTTTCATGTCCTAGTTAAAAAATACAAAGAATTAAAGCCAAAATGTAAGCTAAAATTGTTTATTCTGCCTTTTGTTTTGGTTTTTTGTTTGGTTTGTAGGGGATCAGTTATGCCAGTCTCCCAGTGAAGGCTGGAGCCTGCAAACACAAGGGTGTCAAGAACCAGGAGCACGTGAAGGACTCAACTCATCATCTCAGCACCAATAATAAAGAAAGATTTTGCTTGCAGCACCATGAGAAAATCCCTTAGAAGTGTCAACCCAATGACTGAATCAGACCCTGCACTGCTTCTGGCTGGGCTAGTTAATTTTCTTCCTAGCAGCTGGTACAGTGCCCTGTTTGGATTTAGGATGAGGATATTGTTGAGAACACACTGATGGTTCTGAGCAATTCTCACACTCAGTCAAGGATTTGTCAGCTCCTCGTGCTGCCCTGCCAGTGAGGAGGCTGGGGGGCTCAAGACATTTTATTATTTTATTTTATTTTATTTTATTTTATTTTATTTTATTTTATTTTATTTTTTCCCCAACTCTCTCCCCCATCCCACTGGGAGAAGGGAATGAGCAAAGAGCTGAAAGTGCTCAGAACTCTGACAAAACTGCACATCCCTGAGAAACTCTCATCAAGGTTTCTTTAATGGTAAGAGAAGGGATCAAAAGCAATTTGATTTAAAATACATGCGTATTTTTTATTAAATAATTACATGAGATCTGTGGGTTCCTGACTTCATGCTGCTCCCAGTGCTACCAAGCCACCTACTTGGCCAGAACTGGGGTTGAAGCAAAGCTCAGAAACAAAGTCCTTGTTTGCTTGTTTGCATGCTGGATTTCCTGTCCTGTTCATCCTTCTATTCTAATTTTGGAGGATGAAGCAGATCATTCAGCTCTGTAGTCCTCCTTCCCAGGAACCCACCACAAAAATATTTATAACTGGGTATAAATAAACATGGTTTTGTTTCTGCATCTCATAGCCAGCAAGCAGATTCAATTTTTCAGTCATTAATAACAAATCCTCATGTAGATTGAGATTTCAAAAAGCTAATTAAGGTTTGCAGGGTATGGGTAAGAAACACAATTTTTCTGGTTTTCTTTAATTTCTCCCCATGCTTCCCCATGGAATCCCACAGAATCCATTGACATCAGGCTGAATTCAGCAGCTGAGCACAACCTTCTGCTCCCAGTTCTGCCTCAGGAGTCCTTTAATGCCCAAGCCCCACTGCTTGCACCAAATTCCAATTGTATAACTAAAGGAATATACTCTAGAGATCATTTGACTCCACTGATTATTTTATTTTCTTAGTTAACTCAATCAGACTCACCAAGTCACAACCAAGCTTTCCAAACAAGATTGCACTAGAATCTCCCTATGGTATTTTTAATTTTTTTGGCTGTTTTTATCTAGATGGCAAAACCTAAGGAGACACTAAAATTCACACAGCAGCTTGTGAATATTAGATCTTCTCTCTCAGACTCAGGACACAAGAAGTCCATTTTAATGAAACCTCTCCTGACTGAGGAAACTCGTCAGTGACCTGGCTGTGTGGAGTGAGAGTTGTTTCCATTTCCTAGAATAAAACTTGGAGCACCTCTTTTGCCCTGAATCACCTGGTACTCATCCAACCAAATTTTCCCTCTTTTTTTTTTTTCCTGAAATAAGTGGATTAGTCACAGGGTGTAATGTAGACATTAATTGCACTGCTGCTGTTCGAAAGAGCCTGCCAAGTCTCAATGACTGTCACTTTTTTTTCCCTGTATTTTTCTCATCACCACTTCAGAGAGGTAGATTCTCTATTTCCTCCCAGTGACTGACTGCTGATGCTGAGATGTTTTGGAAGAATTTGGCATTGATTACCACCTTCTATTGCTAAGCCTGGATTCAAGCAGGACTTTGTTGCACGAGATATGAAAATCAAGTTGTGTTCGTGTGAGGGCTCTGTGCCTCCGTGCAAAGGTGTGTCTTTTCCAACCTCAGCGATTCCATGACTCTGTTTGGCAAAGCCAAACCTTCTATCCCAAATTCTGGATGTTGATATCCCCAATTCAGGCTCAGAAATCCAAAAGTGTATCCCCAGCTGCAGAACCTGCTGCTTCAGTTTCCCTTGGAGGTCCCGGGCAGCGGTGGTGTGAGAGCAGCACTGAGCAAGCAGAGTAAACACTTGATCTGAGCTTGCCAGCCTGAGACAAGCCCTCTTTGTTCCAGAAGTTGACTGGATTTAGCCGAGGAATGCATTGTTGGGGAAGACAAGAGGGCTGCTCCCTGCCAGCACCGCGAGGATTCATCCGGCCTCACAGGAGGTGCTGCCCAAAGGCAGCAGTGTCACAGCTGGGGTGACAGAAATCAAGCTGGAAATTAACTGTTTGAAACACAAGCTAGAATTTGGACAGTCTTGATGGGTCCCTTTGCATTTTGGGAAAAAAACAGGAAAAAAATAGCATTTTGTTTACTGCTGATAAGGCAGTCCACTGCCCAGGTAATGTTTTCTCCCTGGCTCCTCTTGGGCCAGTGGCTGCCATGGGCTGTCCAAGGGGAGGGGTTAACCACTGCTCCCACAAAAGAGAGGGGCTTCCAACAATTATTAAGGCACTCAAAAAATGAAGCTAGAAAGGAACTCCTGCAAAAAAATTTACTGAAACATTTTAGAAGTTAAAAGTATCTCCACTCTATGAAATTACATTGGCTATTGCTGCTCTCTCAGTTTCTTGCCTTCCACAACATTTCCTCTGTAGTATCAAGCCCTATCAAACCAAATCCTTTGGTTTTACTTTGGTTTGCCTTGGATTTTAATTTTAGTGACCACATTGTTTGATTTATACAACCTTTTTACTATCAACACTTTAAAAATTCATGTTTTTCCCTATCATCATAAAAAAAAGCGTTTCAAGACTGGTCTGACTTCTGTTGTAGACCTGTGTAGTAGTCCTGGAACAGGGTGTATTAATCTGCTTCTTATTGTTTCAACAATGTCTTCAGCACCACGTGCAATACCCCATTTCCTTGCTAGGTGTAGTTGTAACTGCAGTGACTCAAACTCCACCTAGAAGTGACTGATTTTTTTCATTCACAGCTGGCACAGGCTCTGAAGGAAGAGGCAAACTTCTTACATTTGTGTAATTGCATTTAATATCATGCTCTGATGTTTCAGAACCGAATTTGTACAGAGCAGAACACTGGAGGTATTCAATGCTCTTACAGACACGACCCAGAAGAGCCTGCTTCAAGCAGCATAAACCAACTTGCATAAATCTCTGATTCTGTCCTTCCATGAAACATCCAGGTGCAGGGAAATTCTCTTTTGTCTTTCAAATAAATCTCTGTGAGGGTGGTGAGTGGGTGGAACCAGTGCTAAGGGCAGGCTGAAATATTCTGCAAAAGAGCCTGGGGGAGCATTAGTGGTGATTTTTGGGGTTAAAGTGATACAGCAGCTGTCCGCAGCCAGCAAGTTTGTGGACATGCTGCATCACCTTCAGGAGATGTGATTTTTGCTCACAGCCCAAGAAAAATTGTCATGGATGATGTGCAGTGCAGGGGGAATGAGAAATACCTGTGGGAGTGTTCTCACAAGGGGTGGTGTGGAGAGAGGGGTGACAGCCACTGTGATGCCAGTGCCATTTGCTTGTGTACAATACCTTTGCTTGCTCAAGAGGAGCCACAGTGAATTTTTAATTTTGTCAAATGCAAAAGTGCTCCTCTGAACTATAAAACACATTTCTCCACAGAAATGCCTCTCTTAATACCCACATTGTCACCAAATCTCTGTCCTATGCAGTGTTTCCCTCTTTTTTCTTGATTTTTTAACTCATATTTGACATGGCAAGCTTCCATCCAACTAAGATTCGAAATCTTTTAGAGCATTTTAAGCAGTGTCACTCAGAGTCCATCCTGTTACATAGCTACCACACTTTCTTAGTCACCTGTAACCTCCTTTAACCAACTCTATTTGCTCTCTACCAAGGCTTGGGAGGAGCAACAAAATCAGTCCCGAGGCACATTCTGCCCTCACAGAACCAACAAACTTTCACACAGGAGACTTTTCCTGAACTTCAAGTCCTAATCCCACATATCTCACCTTGACAAAGCTTTTATTGAGCACCTGAGGATCATTTATTTGAGCAAGATAACCAGGATAAACCAAATGCAAAGGTTCAGAGTCACAACTCCTTTGCAGCTTAGGGGCAGAAAGCAGAGCTGTGTCACATCCCTCTGAAGGTGATGCCGTGACCTTCTGGCCCTTCTTGGTCCTTACCCAAATTTAACCTTGATAACTTTTATAAATGTCTGCCCGATGGTAAAAAAAGTTCAGAGTCTCATTCTCCACTGATTTTTCAAGTTGTTGGCAAGGACAGTCAGCTCTTAATTAATTATCCGGTTGTTGGACGCTTTGTGAAACATAACAGGTTTAAAAAAAAAAAGGTGACAAATAGAATAGATAGAATATCTTGATTTGGGAACAATCCATGATGTCTGAATCCAGCACCCTGCTCCTCAAAAGGGCTACCTACAATTAAAGCACCTGACTTACAATGTTGCCCAGGCACTTCTTGACCCCTGGAAGGTTTTGTGCTGTAACCAGAGGAGCTGTTCCAGTGTCCAATCACCCTCTGAGGGAAGAATCTCTTTGAAAAATACAGTTAATTCTACAGAAACTGTAATTGCTAAAATGTATATTTTGTCTATTTCCTCCTCTGACAGTTTCTAGGAGAACTGAAATACCTGGCATTTTCAATTTCATATTTATTCAACCATTTCTATCTTGAAAAAAAATTCCCTACCATAAAAAACTTGCTCTTTAAGTTATTACTGATTTGCACCTTATTTAGTTTCTTCAGTAGTTTATGCATGAGGAAAAATTTAAAATACAGTGTATTTTGACCACAGTGAAAGTTGTAATTCTGATTTACATGAGTTTTCATGAGGCTGACCATAGATTTTTAATATTTAAGCAGACTTAATAGATAAAATGTAACTATAAATCTGATTTGCCACAGGACTGAAAGGATGTGACTTTTTGAGTGTGAAGAACCTCTTCACTGGATCAGGTTGTTAAAGGTTTCAAGTCTTAAAAAAGGAAAGGTGCTGCATAAAACAGCATTTTCAATGTTATCTGTTATCTGGATATAACTCACACAAGAAAAAAAAACCTAAGAGAATTTTTTGTACTTCCTAATGAAACTCAAAGGCCCTTGAGTGCTATTAAAATGCAAGGAAAAAAGAAAATGTAGTTATAAGGAAGTCATGGTGACACTGTGCTGCTTTGGCTTGATTAACCTCATGTCTTGGTCACCCTTGTCTCAAGGAGTTGAGCCTTGATTTTGCTCTATTAATTTAAATACTTCATTGTAAATATATCAATAAATACCCACCCTCATTTGTCTAGCACAGGTAATTTATTTAATTATGACTAATTTCATAACCACTACTCAGCTGGGAATAAATCACTTTAACTTTGGCAGCCTACAGTCTTTCTTCCTCTCTGCACGGGCAGTGAGCTGCACTGCACACTTCATGTCCCTCACTGCATTGATTTAATAATTAAACTTTAAAAATTGAAATTAATTTAAAAGGAAACAGTAGTGACAGCTCAGTCCCTGGCACCCCAAGGCCACTCCCGTGTTTGTGATGACAAATGTTCCCCGGGTGCTGGAGAAGGTCACCAGCACCGATGTGACCCTGCCCCGGGCACTGCTGAGGTCAAAGGGATTTGCTGGAAGCTGAGGCAAGCTCTCCATTAAAACCATTGTCCACAGGGCAGTGGAAAGCAGGAAAAGCTGCAGGAATGCAGCAGGTGCCAAGACAAGCAGGGTGTGTTGGCAGAGAGCCTTCGTGGGTAACAGGATGGAATGACCTCTCCTGCCATGTGTGGGGCCAAGGTCGCTGGCACCCCTCGACTTCAGCACAGCCTTCACCCCTGACAAAGATTTTCCCTCACTGAGGCTTCCAGAGGCTGATGTGACATCCTTATCCCAAGGGAATTCTCCTCTGGGACTGGGCAGCTGGAGCCAGCACTCAATACTCAGTTTTGTCCAAACACAGTGGCTTCGTACCTAAAGTTTTCACTTTACTATAAATTCACCATAAATACAGGCAATCACTTTGCAGGCTATGTTATTGAGGATGTGATTTACTTCAGCTGGGATTTGCCTTTTCTATAATCATTCCTGAAAAACACCTCTCACTTCAGAACTTATTGGACTTTGGTGGAAAGGCTGTCAGAGAGAAAACATGGCCTGTTCCAGCACTCGTGTGGCCAGCAGGACCAGGGCAGTGGCTAGCCCCTGTGCCAGCACTGCTAAGGCACCTCAGACCTTGGGATCACCTTTGGGATAACAAAGACATTGAGGGTCTGGAATGTGTCCAGGGAAGGGAACAGAACTGGGGAAGGGGCTGGTACAGAATTGAGTTTGGCACTGGGAACACTTCACTGTGGTAAGACACTGGACATGGCCTGCCCCAGATTGTTGGGAATACAGTGGGTTCAGCAAAAGCCAGGATTTACCACGTAAGAAAACTTTTCAGGAGTGCAGAATGATGCTGAAAGAAATGACAAATACATTGCTGTAGCATGGGAAAAAGCTGTGAGTTCACACACATCAGTGATTTTTCTTTTTCCCCGGGGAATGAGAAATACAAATAAATACACACAGAGGAGAAGGGCATTCAGCCCTATTCTATTACTTCAAAAACACTTTAGTGGAATTCCTTACAAATATGCGTACTTTTAAAGGGATTTGCTCAGGTGGAGTGTCTTTATGGATGCCACAGCAGCTCTGTGGTGTCGGAGCATCTTTTCCAGCCCCGTGCTCTCTTCCCAAGGATGGGGCCCCGCTGCCCTCCAGTGGCAGCAGCCACCAGAAAAGCTCCTCATTTTTCCTCTGCTTTTAGCCCCTTTAGGCCCAGATACTGAGAGAAATTATAACTGTAAATAAAGTTATTTCCAGGGAGGGGGAGATCTGCCAGCGCAGCAAAACTTCTCTCTGTGAAGGAAGATTTACGCTGAACCTCTGCAGCCCAAAGCTGTTTCACTACACACCCTGTTTGTTTCCTTGGAGCAGATTTTGATAGATTACTTTAAGATGTTCTGGGGAACAGCTTTGTCCTTCCAAGACCACAGAGGTCAGCCCTACTGTCATCACTGCTGGTTCTTGTCACGCAGGATTTACCCTCTGCATGACCTCCTTGGGTCCTTACCTGTTTCGTAAAGGAGAATCAGGAATGCTGGAAAAGAAAATCTTGATGATTCTTACTAACTAAAGATTTTTTGCATTCAGCCATGTTCCTTCCATGTCACCTTCTATCCCTATATCAGGGCTCCAAACAGAGCTGTACTGTGCCATGAAAATGAGAAAAGCATTCATGAAAAGAAAAAAAATATGTTCATTTTTAATTCAGGAAAGAAAATTCAGCTTTGTTTTTCTACTCTCTGTAGCTGAGTCCCTTCTCCCTGACAGGACAAAATGAGGCAGAGCTGGAGGCATCCTTTAGGACATCAGAGGCCATGGTGGTGACACCATCACCTCATGCCAGGGAGAAGACTGGAAGCTCCTTTCTTGCTCTGGGGGCTGCATGTCAGACAGAGAACTGCAGACCTGAAACAGGCTGGAGGGACCTTCTCCCATGCTGAAGAGAAGTCAGAAAAATAGGAAAAACTGCTTCTTACATGAGTAATTTTGGCAAAAAAAAAAAAAAAGAAAATTTGTTTGGGGCTTGCCTGACACTTTTAGGATGCTAATCTTTTGGCACAATCCTCACACCAATTAATCTCGTTAATATGGTTGTAAATTGGAAAATCTCTTAATGGGTGGCATGAGAATCCTTACCAAACAGCCTAATCTCCAAAAGTAAATCAATCACTGCTTCCTGGAACAGCCACACCATCAACAGAGGGCCACAAAGGTGCCCGGGGAGTGTTTGGGAAGATCTTGGTGGCCAGTCCAGAACAGCTCCCTGCGCTGGATGTCCCCATCCGGATGTCTGGATGTACCCTGTGAAAGGAAAATCCTCACTAAATCACTTCCTTGGCATCGATCTGGAAGCTCAGGGAGAGGGATCAGGTTGCACAGCACCCGCCTTTGATGCAGACCAGAACCCACTGGGTATAAATTGTGCAGCTGTGCTGGGCTAGGGCAGACCACCCCCAACAACCATGGACCTGCACGTGCGTCTCACCTGGCTGCTTCTGCTGAGCACCACGCTCCTGACTGAACCAGGTACAGCCTTGAAAATATTTTTGATTTCACAGAAATGTTACTGAATTATTTCTGAAATGTTACAGAATTGTTTACTAATGCAGGCTGGCTTGCTGGGAAGTGGTGGCAAAGATTCTCCTCAAATATTGCTGATGAGTTTTGTACCGTAGAATTGACGGTTTGTCTTCTGCTTCAAAGATTCAGTCCAAATCCATAGGCTGTGTTTCAAAATACATGTATTTCAAAATGTATGCATTTCAAAATGTATGAATTTCAAAATACATAATACAATACATATAATATATGTAATATTATATTAATATACTGTTTTTCAAAATATAACCTATGAAGAAGGCTGAAGAATATTCCTTTGTTTCTTTTCCGTGAGGAAAATAGTTTGTGGAAGCTGTTTTCTAAATATTCTTTATCTAATATTCTAGTTTTAATTAAAATTATTCTATGCTGTCTTTTTTAAAATGTAGAGAAAGAGGGGGAAAGAAACACAGAGCAGTCTGCCAGACCCAGGTGGAAATATGCTCTGCATGGCATGTTCCTTCAAACTTATAATCTTGAATGAGATAATTTGACCTTTATTTATCACCATAGGCACCATGAAAAAAAATCTTGCCAATCCCTTACAAAAAGAGGTAATTTCACAGAGAGATTAAGGACTGGCTGTATTGAATTATTTAAAAAAAAATATTTACAAAACAAGAGTATGATGTGTTACTTCAGGGCTAATAAGTTTCCTTCTCTGCCACAGCAAGTGGAGCTTGGTGGAACCAGGCAGATACAGACCTAAAATCAATATGGAACAAATTTGCCGAGTGGATTAAAGAAAAATTGGAGCAAAATGGTAAGAGATGTGCTCCTGAGTGTGAACACACCTGGCACATGTGCAGAGTTCCCTGAGCCAGCTCTGGGTGAGCTGTGCCTCAGCAGCACAGCCAGCCATACCCCACCAGGGTAGATCATGGGGATGCAGATTTACACATCAGAAGTTTAGCTATAAATTAACAAATTGAGATTTACCTGTCAACTTTTGCTTTAGTTCCACCACAACCACAGCTGAGACTGGAATCTGGAGGGCACCGATGCGCCGGGAGGGTTGAAGTTTATCATGATGGAAAATGGGGCACAGTCTGTGATGATTATTTCAATATGAACAGTGCCAACGTTGTGTGCAGACAACTTCACTGTGGCCAAGCTGTCTCTGTCCTGGGACTGTCTTACTTTGGCCTCAGTGGAAAAGTTATCCAGTTGGATGATGTGCAGTGTAGAGGAACTGAATCCCACCTTTGGGACTGCCGGCATGCCGGCTGGGGCAAGCACAACTGTGGACCCAGTGAGGATGTTGGTGTCATCTGCTCAGGTAAAGATAAAAATAATAATGAATAATAAGAAAAAAAACCTCCTTGGACTATGCTGTTCAACATAAATGCAAGAAATATCAGGGTAGAGCTTGGAAATCAGGCCAGGGCTGAAAAGTGGAGGTGGGGTGCTTCTTCTGTTTGAGTCTGAGTGATTGAGGAGCAAAAGGATGCTTTGCACAAAATAACAAGATGGGACAGCAAGCCCTGGGTATGAAAACAGTGAAAAGCAGGTTGTTCAGGACCACTTTAGTCAACACCTTACAGCCAACCCCCAAGACAACAAAGGCAAAGAGTAAGGAGAAAATAGTGGCCATCTAGTCGTGAACCAGGCATGTATGAGTGGAAACAAAAATAATTCATAAATATATAATATAAATAACTGCCCAATAAAGTAAATTCTTGCTTTTTTTGCTGTTCACAGATGCAACACAATCCACGGTTGCACCAACAGGTAAGGCTGAGCTTTTGGGACAGGAATCCCAAAATTAGCTCTGTAAAGAGTCTCCCCAGTGCTCAGAGTCTAATTTTTAACTCAGAAAATCATGTTACAGCTCCTTGGCAGTTTTCTACAAAGGCATGCTCTGAATTACAAGTTATTGCTCCAAACTACTATTTATTCACCCACTGCAACATTATTTCTTTATATTTTCATTATTTCTTTGCATTGCTAATACAAACTGTATTTGTCACTTACCTACTAATAATTAATGAAAACATGAGGCAAGTCATTAAACTCCAGGTCTAAGTTTCTGATTCCAAATTTTTGCTGAAATAATCATAACACCCTGGAAACCTTAAAGTACAGATACTACCAATGTTTCTTGGGATTTCTAGGAGTTAATTATGCCCTTCATAATCCACAGTCACAGGAGAGCAGGCGTTTTCTACCACATAGAATCACAGAATCATGATTATATGTTTTATTATATGTAACACGGAAATGAAAAGCTGGTTCCCAAAAGCATTTATTCTTAAGGTTTTAACAAAGCAGCAACTGTGACAACTTCACAGAACCCCTGACTTCTGCTGGCAAAGGCAAGGTTAAAAAACAATTTTCAAATTGTCATGGGTCGAAATTTTGAGCAACAGGTGGGATTTGTTTAAAGCAGGCAGGAGGAGCACAAGTGTCCCAAATTCACTTACAATAACTACTGGAAGATGCTGTTCTGAGCCACATGACCAAAAGTTAAAGTGCAGGGATCTTTCTTTCCCATGAAAGCCAAATCCCTGCAATGTCTCTGGAGGTTCCTCCCCAGCTCCCAGCTCAGCCCCAGCACAGACTGAGACTCCTGCTGCTCCAGAGACCACGCTAACCCTCAGGGAAGGTGAGGCACACTTGGGGGCTGGAAGACACTCCCAAAGCACTAGACAAATCTCATGTCTTATTGTCCCTCACAAGGGCACCTTTGCACCTTTCCAAATGATTGTTGCACCTCTAGGAGTGAAGCAATGCAGTCAGGAAAAACAAAAACACCTTTGTTGATAAATATTAAATGAGGTGAAAGTAATTTTTTTGCCATCAAAAATAAAAGGCTGGGCAATGACTCATTGTCCCACAAAGCCCAAATTTATTTACCTTCATCAAGACTTTCATTCACATGTTCACTCCTAATTGCTGCCAATCTCTCTCTGTTTTGTATTTCCCCATCTAGTCCCAGATGTGTCTTCTGCACCCACCACTGTCACGGAGGAAATGACCACATTAGTTCCTGAGACCCCAGCCACAGCTGATGAAGGTAAGGACAGCCATTTCACACGTGCTTTTTAAAGCAAACACTCTGTTAATTTGGGGTTTTCAGCTAAATTAAGATGTGGCCATGGAAATCTGTAAATATTCATAGCAGACAATATAGTTGTCCTTAGTTTCTCTTTTGTGAAGGAGCAATCCTCTTACAACACCTTCACTTGAAAAACATCAGTCTGTCAGGCAGGGATACATGCACTTCCTGATTAATACCTCTGAGTTGTAGTTTTAAAGAACACCCTTACAAATTTGCAAAGAAAAACTGTCCAGATCATTGTAATTCTGTGTGTATAAAATTAATCAAATTCTGGAAACATTAAGGACCACAGACTGGCATTTGCACTAATTTCCCTCAGCTGGGGAGTGAGCTTCTCCAGTTATTTAGCAGACTGGAAATCGTGGAATGGTTTGGGTTGGAAGAGACCCTAAAGATGACCAGGATCCAACCCTCTCCCATGGGCAGGGGCACCACCCACTAGATCAGTATTTTTATTAAACCTGAGACCTAAATCAAGTCACAAGCTCTTGAAATCACTCTTAAGATTTTAATTGCTGCTTGCAGCCGTTTAATTTCTCATCCTTTCAACCTCCCTCCCTTTCCACCACCACCACAGAGGAGATCAGGACATCAGAAATCCCAATTACACCAGAGACAGTAAAGGGCTCTTTCCCTCTTGTTTCCACATTTCTTTCTCTTCCTCACAGCCTCTGCAAACACTTCAGAACCCAACTTGTTGCCTGCTGCACTTGAAGCAGATGTGACAACCACAGCGGCAGAAATCCTTTCCACACTGGCTGAAGGTAAGATACAGACACAATGCCATAAAACCTAATAGTAGTGCTTGAGTTTGTTCAAAACAGATTACACTGATAAGATTAAAGTAAATTAATGAAATTCAAGATCATTCAACTGCTAGCTCATTGTGTCAGTGAAGAAGCAAGGTTGGGGAGAGAGGCTGAACCAGGCAGCATTTAAAGGATGGGGAAAAATAAACCCAACCACAACCCTTAAATTACAAGGTGTCCCAGAAAAAATAGGCTCTATCACTGTTATATCTAAGTCCTGATTTCCTACAAACAGGAAATGCTGTAGGTCTTAGAGAACAAGTATACCGTTAAAATGCAGATAATATTTAGTTTCACCATTTCATTCTATATTAAGTAATACAGCATGACTCTAGCTTATATGCTATGGATCTTGGTGGAAAAAATATACATTTAAATGCACACAATATTTAATTTCATCTTTTCTCTCACAGCAACAGTCTCTCCTACTCTGAGCCTGCAGATGTAACCACACGTAAGTAAAACAACATTACTGTGGTGTACATGCCATCAGTCTTTAGGAAAAAAAAAAAACAAAAAAAACCACAAACATTTAAAATGCATATAAAATTTAATTTCACCTTTTCTTTCTCACAGCAACAGTCTCTCCTACTGCTGAGCCTGCAGAAGTAACCACAAGTAAGTGAAATAGCATTACTGTGGTGTACATGCTATCTATCCTTAGGGGAAAAAACCATTTAAAATGCATATAAAATTTAATTTCACCTTTTCTTTCCTACAGCAACAGTCTCTCCCAGTACTGCACCAGCAGACATTACCACTAGTAAGTGACACAGCATTACTCTGGATTGAATGCTACAAGTTTCAGATCAAAAACACATGCTTAATATTTAATTTCACCCTTTCTTTCTCACAGCAACAATCTCTCCTACTGCTGAGCCTGCAGACATTACCACATGTAAGTAAAATAGCATTACTGTGGCATAGATACTATCAGTCATGAGGAAAAAAATATACATTTATAATGCACATAAAATTTAATTTCACCTTTTCTCTTTCACAGCAACAGTCTCTCCTACTGCTGAGCCTGCAGATGTAACCACAAGTAAGTAAAATAGCATTACTGTGGGGTACATGTACTCAGTCTTTAGGGGAAAAAAAAACATTTAAAATGCATACAAAATTTAATTTCTCCTTTTCTTTTTTTACAGCAACCATCGCTCCTACTTCTGGACCTGCAGATGCAACCACTTGTAAGTAAAATAGCATTACTGTGGCATATTTTCTATCTGTCCTGATGAAAGAAATTATATATTTAATGAGCGCACAATATTTAATTTCACCTTTTCTTTTTCTTTTTCATAGCAACAGTCTCTCCTACTGCTGAGCCTGCAGACATAACCACAAGTAAGTAAAATAGCATTTTTTATTATATATTACTTTACTGGTGTACGTTATCAGTCTTGAGGAAAAAAATATCCATTTAACATGCACACAATTTTTAATTTCACCTTTTCTCTCTCACAGCAACAGTCTCTCCCAGTACTGCACCAGCAGAACTTACCACTAGTAAGTGATGCAGCATTACTCTGGATTACATGCTACATGTTTCAGAGCAAAAACCATACATTTAATATTTAATTTCACCTTTTCTCTCTCACAGCAACAGTCTCTCCTACTGCTGGACCAGCGCATGTAACCGCAAGTAAGTAAAATAGCATTACTGTGGTGTACATGCCATTGGTCTTTAGGAAAAAACCATTTAAAATGCATATAAAATTTACTTTCACCTTTTTTTTTTTTCTCACAGCAACAGTCTCTCCTAGTACTGCACCAGCAGACATTACCACTAGTAAGTGATACAGCATTACTTTGGATTACAGGCTACAACTTTCAGTGCAAAAAACATACATTTAATATTTAATTTCGCCCTTTCTTTTTCACAGCAACAGTCCCTCCTACTGCTGAGCCTGCAGAAGTAACCACAAGTAAGTAAAATAGCCTTACTGTGGGGTACATGTACTCAGTCTTTAGGGGAAAAAAAAACATTTAAAATGCATATAAAATTTTCTTTCCCCTTTTTTTTTTTTTCTCACAGCAACAGTCTCTCCTACTGCTGAGCCTGCAGAAGTAACCACAAGTAAGTAAAATAGCATTACTGTGGGGTACATGTACTCAGTCTTTAGGGGAAAAAAAAAACATTTAAAATGCATACAAAATTTAATTTCTCCTTTTCTTTTTTTACAGCAACCATCGCTCCTACTTCTGGACCTGCAGATGCAACCACTTGTAAGTAAAATAGCATTACTGTGGCATACATTCTATCAGTCCTGGGGAAAAAAATTATATATTTATTGTGCACAAAATATGTAATTTCACCTTTCCTTTCCTACAGCAACAGTCTCTCCCAGTACTGCACCAGCAGACATTACCACTAGTAAGTAAAATAGCATTCTCTGGATTGCATGCTACAAGTTTCAGAGCAAAAAACATACATTTAATATGTAATTTCACCTTTTCTTTCTCACAGCAACAGTCTCCCCTACTGCTGGACCAGCACATGTAACCGCAAGTAAGTAAAATAACATTACTGTGGTGTACATGCTATCAGTCTTTAGGGGAAAAAGAACATTCAAAATGCATATAAAATTTAATTTCACCTTTTCTTTCTCACAGCAACAATCTCTCCTAGTACTGCACCAGCAGACATTACCACTAGTAAGTAAAATAGCATTATTGTGGCATACATTCTATCAGTCCTAAGGAAAAAAATTACATATTTAACGTGCACACAATATTTAATATCATCTTTTCATTTTCACACAACAGTCTCTCCTACTGCTGAGCCTGCAGAAGTAACCACAAGTAAGTAAAATAACATTACTGTGGGGTACATGCTATCAGTCTTTAAGGGAAAAAAACATTTAAAAAACCACTAGTAAGTGACACAGTATTACTCTGGATTACAAGCTACAACTTTCAGAGCAAAAAACATACATTTAATGTTTAATTTCACCTTCTCTTTCTCACAGCAACAGTCTCTCCCACTGCTGAGCCTGCAGAAGTAACCACAAGTAAGTAAAATAACATTACTGTGGGGTACATGCTATCAGTCTTTAAGGGAAAAAAACATTTAAAATGCATATAAAATTTCATTTCACCTTTTTTTCTCACAGCAACAGTCTCTCCTAGTACTGCACCAGCAGACATTACCCCTGATAAATAATAAAGAGTAACTGTGACCTACATGCTATGGGTGTCAGGGGAAAAAATACATTTAACATGCAGACAATATTTAAATTCATCTTTTCTTTCTCAGAGCAGCACCACCCACTGCTGCACCAGCAGACACTGCCACCTGTAAGGAATGCAGGGATGCTCTGCTTTCCTTGTTTTGCTGTCTGCCATGCTCTCATCAAGTATTGTCTGCTTCCCTGCCTCCATAATAATAGAATCTCATCAGTTATAATTGGAGATAATCACAATTGCCTTTCCTTTGGCTTCCAGACACAATAAAGGAGCAAAAGGGAAAGGAGGAACAGAGAAACTCTGGCCCTGATGAAAGCACTGGGATGGGCAGACACCCTACATCAATATAAACCCAGATTTGCTCTTGGTCATCCCATTCCCAGAAAATCAACCTTCCTGCACCTCCCAGAGCTGCATCCCAATCCCTGCACCCTCTGGGATGTATTTGCCATGGGACTGGGCAGCTTCAGCCCCCACCCCGGCACCCCCAGCCCTCACCAGCACGCAGCACTGGGCGGGCACTGAATGTTAGGAACTTTATCCCAGCCCCAGAGTGGTGTCTAGCAAAGAGCCCCAGGCTCCCAGAGCTGTGCCATGGTCAGAGGCAGCACAGGGATGTGTTTTCCTCCTGCCCTGGAACATTGTCCAGCCCTCAAGCGAGACCTTGAGTCTCCTGAGGTTTGGGTATCTCTCACCTGCCCAGCTCTGGGAAAGCAGTTTTTAACCTGCAGTTTTGTTTTCTCTCTGGTCAGCCCCTGCAGAAGACACAACACCTGGAGCAGCAGGTGTGTATGACTTCGGTATATTGGTCAGAATTTCAGGATCAAGCATCAGCTTGAGTAAAATCCTGCTCCACACCCCCTTGGCAGCCCTGGCTTTGCCCACACAATAATGGAACAGGCACTGAAGTGTGGTTTTGTTTTCTCTTTGACAGTCACAACTGAGCCCACAGCAGCTGAAACCCCAGGTATTTGTTTCTGGTCATTTCTGCAGCTGTGGTGAGCACTGTACTGCATTTCATGTGAGTCATCCCTGTATTAGAGCATAGACAATGTTTAACTTCATCTTTTCTCTTCTCACAGTGCCAAGTTCACCTGCTGCATCAGTTCCTCCACCTCCTGAAACAACAGCCATTACCACAGGTAAATGAAGCAGATTTACCCTGGTTTATGCCCTTAACTCCCTACCAAAGCTGGGATCTGATGATGTGCTGGCAAGGCTCCCTGTCTCCATGCATCATCTCATGGAATTAATATTGAAATTTAGGGATAATTTTTTTGGCTTCCCACAAATCGAGGGACCTGAATTTTTAGTATTGATGTGGGAAGAATACCTGCTCTTCTGCAAGCTCTAGGGAACTGGAATTCACACCACATCAATATAAATTCAGATTTCCTCTAGATCACCCCACCCTACAAAGCCAGCCCCCCTGCACTTCCAAACTGCATCCCCACTGGAAGCTGAGTCAGTGGGAACCCTTTTGACATATTCATATTCATTTGCTTTGAACCTTAGTTTTCCACAGTGGGCTTTACCTTTTGAAAAAAATTTAATTGCAAATTCTGCTCACTAGTTGACAACATTCTGCCTCAGCTGCTCACACAGCAGACCCAGGGTTTCTTTCAGAGTCTGGCCATAGCAGCTGCTTTGATAAAATGCACTTGGCTGCTTTGGTAAAACACACAAGAAACTGATCTTCAGCAGCAAAGCAGACATTTGAGCATGGGGTTATCACCTCACACAGAGGGACAAACAGAATTAAATCTTGTTCCCATTAATGCCAGTAATATATCACTTGTAGTACTCGAGCCCCCACACTTTCCTTAGTAGGAAAACTTTGTCCATGACAATTCTGTTCCTCAGAACTGTTGCTAATAATATTTCCTAGTCCTAATGTGCTCTGCTCATTACAATGTTTATTAACTGGTGGCATAAAAGCACATATCTTCCTCAATCAGCTCACTTTTTAACCTTTTCTATTTTCATTAAAAGCCAATCCAAAGACAAACGCAGCAACTACAGGCTCAGGTAAGATATCTGATTCTTTCTTCTTTTCAATGACTTCTCTTCCTAAGGGCAGGATTCCCTGGGTAAGAGATATGAGCTGGGAAGGGCTGGCAGTGCAGTGGCAGAGGGGATCTGAGTGCAGGGGGAGTGGGAGAGGCTGGATGCAGGCAGAGAGATTGGGAGTGCCACAGCTCAGCCAGGGACCACACACTGCTTATACAGAGCTGGCAGCAGAGCCATCCTCAGTGCTGAGTGCCAAGGGGATGAGCTGGCCCAGGTCTGCATCACTTATGGCCAAAAACCATTTGAAATGTCCTCCCACAGCCTGCCAGCTGCTGCCCAGCCAGTGCCTGTGCTCTGGAGGGCTCACAGGCAGAGACACCTCCTGATCCTGGCAAATTCCACCTCTTCCAGGAGAGAACAACACCAAGGATGTACCTTGGGGTTAGTTGTTAGTTGTAGGAGGGAGAAATGAGAATAGAACATCATCAAAGAGAGAGAAATTAATTCCTCCCTACTCAGCTGCTGTTCCAGGCCCACATTTAAATTTGCGAAGCAGGCCAGTATTTAATACCTGCTGCATTCTGCTCTGTGCTTACCTCTGGTTTCTCAACATCCAATTCCTTCCCCTGCAGCAGAGTTCATTCCCCTGCCTAACTACGTGAAGCTGCTGTTGCTGAAATACCTAAACAAGCTGTGCCAGCCAAGGAGACCTGGGATGCCAGAAGTAACATTGGAAGGGTAAATATTTATTCATGCATGTGAGATGCCCCAGCCAAGCTGGGATACCCCAAACATGATTTCACCATTTTCTTACACCCTTCAAATGCTCAGGTACAACTTGATTTGGCTACTCAGTCATACACATACTACCAATTACTAACCACACTAAAATTTTGTAAAACACCATTATTTCTTGGAAACAGACAGACATTCTTGGTGCATGTCTGTTGATCCAGATGTCCCTGGAGCCATTCTTGCTGGAGTCACTGATTTATGGCACCAGATGATGCTGGCAGGGTTTCAAAGTCATGTCAGAGGGGCTGGGATTCTGGTGTTGTCTTGGCTGCCCAGGGGAATCCTTCATGCACACCTCTAAGCTTCCAAAAATCAAAATCCTCTTTCCAGGGCTGGGCTGTCCATTAGTTTGTTTTAATTAAGCATGAACCGTAGCAGAGTGTGCAGTAAAACTCTGCCTCATCACTGTACAGCTTATAATGTGATTTAACATATATTGACAAAGTTCCACGAGGTGCTTTACACGTGTGACATTTGTATGGGTTGTGATGCACATTACACTGGCAGACATCTAAATTCCATGCAGTGGCATGGAATGAACAGGGCTTCAGTGCTGCAAGTTGTAATTTAACATCACAGCTGGACATTTCTGGAAGAAAGTTTCTTGCAACCGAGGACACAAACGGGCTTGATGAGCATGCCACAATAGTAACATGACAATTAATATGTGGGGTTGTTTTTTTTTCCTTTCTCAGGTGTGTGTATGACCCAACCTGTGGGAATCACCTTTCATCAGGCCAGAGGCTCATCCAGCTCCGTTACAGAGCTCCTGTAAACAGCAGAGTTTGCCTATGGTGCAAAGTATCAGGGTGCACCATGCGCCCTCCTCCTCCTCCTCACAGACCCTTCCCAGGGAACAGGCCCCCTTTTCCTCCTCACAGACCCTTCCCAGGGAACGGGCTCCCTTACCCCAGACCCTTCCCAGGGAACGGGTTCCCTCATCCCAGACCCTTCCCAGGGAACGGGCTCCCTTACCCCAGGCCCTTCCCAGGGAACAGGCTCCCTTATCCCAGGCCCTTCCCAGGGAACAGGCTCTCTTATCCCAGGCCCTTCCCAGTGTACAGAAGAGTCAGGAGAAGCACAAATGATGGCGTCGTTGTCATCATCGATCCCCAGTAATGAAGCTTCTGACCATGACATTGTGTTGAGCACCTCTAGACCTGTTCACTGTGTTCCAAGATCTGCTGCTTATTTCTGAAAATATACCAGTGGGTGTAAATCTAAAGGTATTTAATCTTAAATGAACTTGGGTTGCTTGATTTCAGATCTTTCTGCTCTATACAGCAGATCTGTAAAAGCCTAAACTTCAGTAAATACTCTCAGTGACAAAAAAATAATTGGATCAACTGCCTCTTTTTTCTCAAGATTTTGTTTTCTTCTCAATGTTCCTTTAGTTCTGGTCATGCTTAGTCCATACAAAACTCCACCACACTCCTAACCCTGTGCTCTGCTTCTCACAGATAATGATTTAAAGGGCATTTAAAGGGTTCTGAAGGACACAGCACTGACTGGCAGGGGTCCACATGCCAGCTCACACATTCACTGCAGATTCACATCCAGGCACAAAAGGGATATTGGCATTCAAAAATTCCTTGCAAGTACGTGTGTGGGTTTGAGAAATAAAAGGCTACACAGAGTAAATGAAAATTTAGCGTTTCCAGAAGCCAAAGGGAATTCAAATGCTGTGCAACATCTTTAAACATCTATTTAGTGCCTCCACCCTCAAAGGCAGTATAAGTACATTTCAGGATGAAGATACAGTTGCATTCAAAATCCTTTAAGTGAGTTAAAAATCAGAGAGAGTTGTCAAGGCAGTATAAGTACATTTCAGAATGAAGACACTTCAGGATGAAGTACATTTCAGGATGAAGTTGCATTCAAAATCCTTTAAGTGAGTTAAAAATCAGAGAGAGTTGTTTTAAAGACGGTATAGGTCTGGGGTTAGAAATACAGTATCACTACAAATGCATTATATATCAATTTGCTCATAAAAGAAAATGGTTTTGTCCAAAAAAAAAAAAAACCCATTACAATGGAAGAAAAGCACCTGGCTGTGTTTCAAGAAGGTCTTGCCTTTATTTTCTATGAAGTTGGAGAAGCCCTGTTTGCACAGCTGTGGGGTTTGTGCTGCCCTCAGCAGCTCCTGAGGGAGCCCTGGCTGTCCACCCCAGGTACCAGCCTGACCCAAGGCCAGGTAAGAGCACACCTGGGCCACTGGCACGGGCTCAGCTCAGGAGCTTTAATTCCTGGGAACTCACTGCTGCACTGAGAAATACTCTGCAGTTCAGAGCTTTGGTCCTTATGAGACAAAACAGGGTGAATGTGTTGGGACAGGTATTTTGTTAAGGTTGTGCTGAAAGGAATTCAGGCTTTCAGGGCTGTGCTTGTTTCCTTGCCTCAGGAAGGAAAGGCTGATTCCTTTTTTCCTCTAGCTCCTACTGTGGGGCTGAGAAAGTCCTGTCTGCCAAGTGGTTGCAGTGCAATCTCCTTCTTTTAATCTGTGACAACCTGGCCTTGCTCATCCCTGGGCGTTTCAGCAATACATCCATGACAACTCTTTTACAGCAGCTGCACTTTGCAATCTTCAGCAAGGACAGGGAATGATCTGCCCAGTGTAACCTAAAGGGAGAAAGGTCAAAAAGAAGGTGGGAGAAACCAAACTTCTGCTGGGCAGTGCTGAGAGAAAACTGCACGTGTCTCCCAAGGGAGTCTGTCAATCCCTTCCACGACATTCCTGCTCATACCCACACCCCTGAACAGCCTCTCAATGAAATCTACTGGAAAATGTGCTTTGAACCAGCTTTGAGAGCTGACAAAAGCACTTTAAACTTACTCCACACGGTGCCTGCTTAAAAAATAGGCCCACCTGTTACTTTCTCATTTATATCTGTTAAAAAGAAACAGGGACTGGTAGATTAAACCCTCCCTCTTGGTACCACAGGATGGTTGTGAAATAGCAGGAGGTATAAAAGTCAGCAAAGTCAAAGCCTGCCCTCCCCAGCTGACCTCAAAATGCAGCTGCTCAGGCAGTTCCTCCTCCTGCCTCTCTTCACTGCTCTGGCTCTCTCTGAAAGCAACTCAATAGAATTCACAGGTATGGAAATCTGTTTATCTGTGAGATTTTACTGATTTCTGCACAACAGATCTTATATAGGCAACTGAAGGGCAAAATGTTAAACACCTCTGAAAGTGAATCTTATTTTAATGTGCTGATGGCATGATAGTGACACCTAAACGTGACTGCAAGCATTAAAAATGGTAAATAATCAAAAATATTCTATACATTCCACCCTATGGCAGTTATTTTAATTTAAGAACTTGATTTTGAAGCAGTTTTACTCTGGAATGTAAATGTGCTTTTATAGATTAATACTATATTGGAATAACAGAAATCAGGGGACTAATTGGGAAATGTTTGCTTTTGACAGAGATTTGTCCATTTTTCCTTTGTTCAATCAGAAGCAATAAAGAGCTGTTTGTTGCCCAGTCTGGGGTCCCCATTCTGTGCTCAGATCAGCAATGTGGCTGATTAAAGGAGGGTAGCTATTGCAGGATAATGAAATATTGCAGCAGAGCTGCTCCAGGGGTGTCTGACCCCAGACCCCAGAGGGTGCAGGAGGGTAGGACTGACCTGTAATGCTCTTACAGACAGGAGGTTTCATTTCTGATGGTAAAAGTCTCTCCTAAACCTTTCTATTCCCTCTGGAGTCCATCAGAAAGCCTGACCTTATTTTCTGGGGCTGCATGCACACTACAGAAAATTCTTCTGACTGCTTTAGACCATTATTTTTATATTAATATTAAAGTAGAAAGATCTTATGTTCAGAGTGGATTCTAAACTTTCTCCAAAGTTTCCTATCCAATGGCCATTACTTCAACCACTTCCTAACCTCTTAAGTAGTGTCAGTGATTCAGACATATTGAGTTGTGGGTTTTTTTTAATAAGAGTACTTACAAGTCCCAAGGTTTGAATTGCTTGTGGTGACAAACCTTGCTGAAGAGAGAGGCTGAGGTGTCCTGCAGCGCTTGGCATTTCCAGTTGTGCTCCTGGCTTGATCCTTTTCTGTGCTACTAGGTAAACCAGGATAAACCATGGCATTTTAATATTCTTTTACCATCTGATTCATCAGATATCATAAGATGAAGTAAAATAAAATAAATTTATTTATTTAAGCACATTTTTTCCTATCTGTTTGATGATGGACTCTTCCAGTCTTTGCATAATGGAGGATTAAATATTTACTGCAAGAGAAAACTTGAGAGATATCCTTGCAAGCTGTTTTTGTGGTTGTTGCTGTTCAACAGGGGTGCCTCGCTGTGGGGCTGCACTTCATGAGCCCAACAAAGCATTAAGGATTGAGCTAAATGCAAATGCAAGCTGCACCTGGCAAATCCAGAGGAATGCAAATCAAACAATTAGGCTTATTTTCTCCTATTTTAAGTAAGTATTTCCTACAGATGCTTTTGTGCTGTTTTCATTTCACTAGAATATAGCACAGAAATGGATTGCCTCTAAATATTCCTCTCTGTTGAATCTGTGTTCTGCCCTCCAGTGAATCCCAGAATGGTTTGAGTTGGATGTGAGTTAAAGCCCATCCAGTGCCACCCCTGCCATGGCAGGGACACTTTCCACTGTCCCAGGCTGCTCCAAGCCCCAGTGTCCAACCTGGCCTTGGGGACTGCCAGGGATCCAGGGGCAGCCACAGCTGCTCTGGGAATCTGTGCCAGGGTCCCACCATCCTCACTGAGAAGAATTCCTTCCCAATATCCCAGCCAGCCCTATCCTCTGGCAGTGGGAGCCATTCCCTGTGTCTGTCCCGCCATCCCTTGTCCCCAGTCCCTCTCCAGCTCTCCTGGAGCCCCTTCAGGCCCTGGAAGGGCTCTGAGCTCTCCCTGGAGCTGCTCCTCTCCAGGTGAGCACCCCCAGCTCTCCAGCCTGTCCCAGAGCAGAGGGGCTCCAGCCCTGGGAGCATCTCCATGGCCTCTTCTGGACTCTCTCCAGCACATCCTTCTTGTGTTGGATGCAGCATTCCAGGTGGGATCCCATGGGAGCAGAGGAGAAGAATCTCCTCCCTCAATCTCCCATTCATTTTCAGTGTTGCACTTTTGGGTCATGTTGCGTTTCTCATTCACCGACACCCCCAAATCCATCTCATCAGGGCTGCTCCCAGCCCATTCTCCACCCAGCCTGGATTTGTGGGACTGCCCCAACCCCTGTGCACGTTTACCCACCAGCCCGTGTGTCTGCCAAGGAGCTCGGGTGGTTCTCACTGTGCTTTTCCCAATAGATTTGCTCCTTCTTCAAGCTGTGAAACAGAAAGCATTAAAGTGTTTGATGGTCCCTCCGCTGCTTCAGCTCTCCTTGGACAAGTGTGTGATGACACAGATGCAGTCCCAGTGCTTGAATCATCCTCAGACAGTTTAACTTTTCTCATAACAACCAACTCCGTGACTTTCACACGACACTTCTTTGTCTACTACTACTTCTTTTCACCAGGATCAAGTAAGCCATTAAATAACATTTCAACTGCAGCAATGAAACATTATAAAAGAAGCTTTAATCAGTCTCACTCAGGTCTTCAGGCCTCAGAGAATGGAGTGGGGCAAAAATCAGGGAAAGAGGCACAAGCAATGTGTTTGCAGAGATCCTAAAAAGTTAAATTTAACTTACAAAAGTGATGGCAAAGGTGACATTATGGGACTTCCAGACTTCTATGAAATGTAGTCAGCTTGCAGATATTACAGCATTTACCCAGGAGAATTTGACCATCTAGTCAGAACTCCTGCCAAGTACAGATCACAGAAGCCAGTAAGGATTTTAATTCAATAAGCTCCTTACTCGTTTTCTTTTGAAAGATAAGAATAGCTTGGACAAAATAAATCTTAGCTTGTGACCAGCCCCTTTGCTTCTGCTAACCTGGTGGCATGGTATTAAGCTTTTAAAAACTTAATTTTACAGGGTAGTTACCAAATCCCAATTTAATTTTGCTGCTGAAAGATTCTGCCCTATTTCTAGTCTACATTTGTCTGAGGTTCCACTGGTTTGATTTTTTTTTTTTTTTTTTGCCTTTGTCTAGCAAGTAAAATCTCTCTCATGCTTGCAGGTTTTGCACTTCCATACAAATCATGTATGGTTGGTGTAGCATCTTCATTAGCAGTTTTTCAAGAGGGCACCAAATTTATCCAAAATGTGGATAAATGTGGCTCTCACTAAGCTGCTCCCAGTGCCAAAATTAACTCATCTACAGCCAGCTCAGGGGTCATCACACTGAGCCTCACAGAAACAGTGACCACTGGCTCCATTCTGTAATTCCACCTGACTTCAAATTCCCTATGGAATTTCCATCTTTAGTACCTTTAATCATTTCCAAAGGACTGGAGTCCTAAAGAATCAATCCTGATAGTTACATAAGGTTTGAGTTTTTTATATGACTTATTCTGTTATCAATATATCTCCTCTCCTTTTCAGAAACCGAAAACTGTGGGGGACAATTAACTGGTCCCAATGGGACATTCAGCAGCCCCAACTACCCAGCACCTTACCCTCAATTCAGATACTGTGTCTGGCACATACAAGCACCAAAAAACTCAAAGATAAGCTTGGAGTTTCAAGATTTTTTGTGAGTAAATTCCCTATTTATAGTCATTTATATATATATATATATATATATAATATATATTTTTTTGTATATATATCCCTATTTATATATATATATTTATAAATGTTCTGTTTCTCTTTATACATTCTGTTTAAAGGCATTACTTTGTTAAACACAGGAAGAAGTGCTTTTTAACTTTTAGAACATCTGTACACCTTTAAAATAAAGGGATTTGTTGACTGTTGTGATAAAATTATTGCAAAGTGTTTCACATCCCTGTACATTACCCTAAAGCAGCTGCAGTGTCAGTCAGGGAAATGCAGAAAACATCTCAGGTGACCAACCACGAGGTGCAGGTCCATTTCTTGAGATACTCAGACTGCAGAATGCCCTGCAAGAATTCAGTATGAAATGTACAGGATTCCACAGGAAATCTTTACCTTGACCACTGCCCTCTGAGATGATTATCTCTGCACAGGGTGGAATATGCTCTGAGCTTTCCTGGCCAGGGTCCATCTCTAATGCTGATCTGGGAGAATCCACCCTCCACTGGTGAAAAATTGCAAGAATCTTGCTCTGTGATACACACAAGGGGTTTCGGAATATTTTAAAATTATTTTGAGAAACATAATAATTTTATATGTTTTATTTGGTTTTAACTATGTCTATCTGTGGTGTTCTGTTCCCCATTCTATCACCTCAGTTGTGTGGAACTCTCAGACACTTTAGCTGCACTGAATCCTCTATCCACTACAACCAAAGCCGCACTCAGATCTCCCTGTAATGATTTTTCCTCTGTCTGCAGCCTGGAATTGGACAGAAACTGCCAGCTTGACTTCACAGCAGTCTATGATGGCCCCACCACTCACTCTGGGCTCTTGGGGAAAGTGTGTGGGCGTGCCCAGCCCACCTTTGAGTCTGCTTCCAACACGATGACAGTTGTGCTGTCCACAGATGACACCAATTCCTACAGAGGATTCTCAGCTCAGTATTCCACTGCTCCCCTGCCAGGCCCCATGGAGCCCAACAGTGAGTGCCCCTGCTGCATGGAGAGGATGCTGATTGTTTTTATGATGTGATTCTTCTCTTACATCCAAAAGAACTGATGGTTGATACTGAGGAGTTAAGCCTTTTTATTGGTAGTCTTTTAACCCACTTTACACACAAAAAATCCCACATTCTCTCACCTATAGAGCGTAAGTTACTTCCTGACCCATCTGTAAAGGAAAAACATTTTTTTCACTTTTGGGTGGTGTTTTTTTTCTGGCTGGCACCACTTAAAATCTGAGGTTTTCCTTCTTTTGTACAAAACATTGTTACCATGCTAAGATGCAAAGATAAAACTCCTATTGTCTGGTTAGTTTAAATGGTTTTGTTGCCTAAGGCACTCAGGAATTTTCCTGGTCTGCACTGGTCAGTCAGACTTTAGATGTGTTGTAATTTCCCTTCCCCCAGAGCTGGGCCTTATTTTCCTTATTGGTCCTGTATCCTTGCATGCCCATCTTCCCATTAATTGAAGGTGCAAAGGAGTTTCTAAATTCTAATTGATTAACTGAGGTGCAAAGGAGTTTCTAAAGCCTCAGTGCCTGAGATAAATCAATTTCTTTACCCACCATTCTGCACCAGCACTTTGATTCCTTTTCCCCTTTAAAAATGCAGAGACCCTTCTGTGTTACTGGGTTTTAAATTAAGCTTTCAGCATGAGTTTTATGGGGTTTTGCTCTAATTCTGAAGTTAAGCATGAAACTTTTGTGCAACTTCTGCATGACCTTAAGTGGACATGAGCTTTTTCACTGACAGTTCAAGGATTTAGACAAAGTGAAAAATGACCGCTGCAGTTTGTCCTGATGTTCTTGGTTTTGTTTGATTCTTTTTCAATGGCAGCAACCCTTACATGCTCCTCAGACAGCATGAGAATTGTTCTGAGCAAGTCTTACCTGGCCTCCCTTGGCTTTAGGGAAGCTCACCTGCAGCTGAACGATCCATCTTGCAGACCAGTTGTAACAGATTCAGTGATCTTCTCCTTCCCATTGGCCAGCTGTGGAACAATTAAAAAGGTAAAGTGGATAAAAATTTGAATAAGCTAACAAGAGCTTAGGAAAGATAAGAGCTGGTAAAAGCAGTGTATGAATAGCATGTGAGTACATTGATTGTATTTTCACTTCACTCATCCCATACCATGTCTTGAAATACAAAGAACATTTTTCCTCTTTAAGAATCTGATGATAATGAACTTTTCAACAGAAATATGGGAGAATCCACACAAATTATCCCCCAAAAGATTGCCAAGAGCTAGTTCATAGCACTGTTTTGATAAGGGTACTGGAGCATAGCTTTGGTACTTCCCATGCTCCATGCACTATTCCTTAAACTTGTTGCTGCCTGGATTGCTTCAGTGTTTAAGAAAAAACAGGAGAATAGTTGATAAGATTTTTTGGCTGCAGCCTGTTTCACAGTTCCAAGCCTCTGATAAGCACACCTGGGCAGGTTTGTCAGTTCAGCTACAATTCTTTTCAAGTGCTCTGTTGGTGCAGCCCCAGCTGAGCCCTTGGCACGTTCCTTTCCCAGGATGAAGGGCACAGCATCACTTACACCAACACCATCTCCCTGGCTGCAGCCGGCAGCGCCATCACCCGCCACAGGAACACCGAGATCACTGCTCAGTGCACAATGAGCAACAACGAAACCTTGGAGCTCATCTACACCACGACAAACAATGCCATCCAAAACCTGGCTGCTTGGGGGAGGTACAACGTTAGCATGGCCTTCTACGAGTCAGATTTGTTCTCCAAGCCCATCCAGTACTCCCCATACTACGTAGACTTGAACCAAACTCTCTTTGCTGAAGTGACTCTTCATTCCACTGACCCAAACCTGCAGGTGTTCATTGATACCTGCACTGCATCTCCACAGCCTGGTTTTGGATCACTGACATACGACTTAATCAGGAGTGGGTAAGGCTGATTTGATTAGTCTCCTAATGTGCGAGGAAATGGGATCTAAATGGCAACTGCACTTCTTTTATTGTTGTCTTTTCCACTTACCTTCTTTAGTAGGTTGTGATTGGAAGTTGCAGATGAATTTAAAGATGTTCCACAAACAGAGCTAGGAAAAACATGCACCACGTCATGCTGGACAAAGGCAAAAAAGCACATCATTGTATGCCCACGTGTAGGAACAGTGCCCTGGTTAAACGCTGTAGTTACAGCTCACAGGACTTAGCCAGAATGATTATTCCAAGTGGACTCTTTTAACAGATCTGCACATCCTTTTGCAGCTGCAATAAAGATGACACTGTGGTAACCTACCCAGCGTTTGAAAACCACGGAAGATTCAAATTTAGGGCCTTCAGGTTCCTGAGGAGCTTCCCATCAGTTTATCTCCAGTGTGACGTTGTGATCTGTGACAGCAACAGCACCAACTCCCGCTGTGCCAGAGGCTGCATCTCCAGGCAGAAAAGAGCCATCTCTCCCTACACGTGGAAAACTAACACTGTGGTGGGTCCCATCCGCCTGAAAAGAGATCTCAGGGCTGCTGAGCACTCAGGTAAGAGGGGAAAAATAAAACCATAATTATATGTATGTGTGTGCTTCACTCAGTTTTGTTGTTGGTGCTCCAGATAATAAACGCAGCTGACTGACTCTAGGCCAGGTTAAATCCTCCCACTGCACGCACAGAACAGGAGTAAAAAGGACAGTCCTGAGAGCAGAAACCAAAAACACCATGCCTTTAAAGAGCTCCAGAGGTGTTTGTAAGACAGCTAAGCTTTGGTGCCACTTGCAGTCTGATCTGCAGTAGTCAGGTACTGAGAGTAAAGAGAAACTACAAAATATGGAAAAGCTATTTTTAAAAGCTTGTATTGCTACTTCCACTGTGCTCATTGTTCTCACTTTTATGGAGCCCAAAGCTCCACCTGAGAAAAGCACATTGGGCCACTTGCTTTCAGCTATCAGATCTAGGAAATACTTAGAATTAATCTTGCTCTTAATAGTTATTTGAATATTTTTCCCTTTTTTTTTTTTTTTTTTAAGTATTAATCTTTCTAAATTCCAGCAACATTTTAGATAATGCTCCCATTTATTTCAATTGTGAAAGATTTTGCATCCCTATGTGTGGCAGTGAACACATCTGTAACTCAACAGCAAATATTCAAGTACAAATATTATAAAGCAGAATAAGTTTTACAGAGAAGCAGATAGGAAACCACTGAAACCACAAACTGCTTTTTTTTTGCCTAACTTTGCTTCAGCAAATGTCTCAAATCTCTCTCATGGTGACAGCACTGCTTGGCAGAAACTTGGCTGCAGCAGTACCAAAGAATTGAACGTCATGATGTTGTTCTGTAGGATTGTTTTATTACCAATTTTTACAACTCTTCAGTACTACATATTCAGGATTTGCACTCTGTGTCAGTCATGTCAAATGAAAACATCTGAAAAAATGCTTATTCAATTCCCAGTTAAATCATACAGTATTCTAAACTTTAAGCACTTTTTCTCTCTACACAGAATTCCTCACTGAAGTAGAAGCTGAAAAAACACCAAACCTGCAACAATACAACTTCTACACTCTGGCATTTGTGGTTTTAATTTCAAACATTCTCATTGTGGTAGCTGTGATACTGAAGCATCACAAGCACCAGGAAGGATATGGCAATCAAAATGTCCAGAGGTCATTTTAACTACTTCTGGACAATTCTATTTAGTGTCAACTGCTGTTCATATTTGTCACCCAGAGAGGGAAGAGGGAAAAGATAAAAAATCATTAAATTAACAGCATTGGAACTCAACAATACTCAGAAATTCATTTCAACTTCTTTGGTTATCAAATAAAAAATCCAAACCCAAGACCGTCTCAATTTAATACTTTATCTCAAGTCACTGAGTTGAAAATGTGTGTGTACCTCAGGATAGGCTACACCTTTACAGGTATGAAGTACAAGATAATTAAGATCCTTTCATCTAAAAAAAAAAAAATATTTTCCCTTTTTTAATCACTTTGAAACTGCACCTGGCAGGAGTTATGATCAGGGACAAGTGCAAGATGCCTTTTCAGAGCAGATTATCCTCTTCCAAACCTGCTTCTGTGTGTTTGCTACCACCAGGATCTGACAGTCTTCAAAATACATCAGTTTTCCTGGAAAAGGAAGTATCAGGCAGAGTAAATGATAATGGCTTGGACATGCTTATGCATGCTTTTGAGCCAACACTTGCTTCCCCATCAACAGCTTTTGCCAGGAATGTTTGTGCACCCAACTGAGGGGTTTGCCATGAACTCCCTACACCCTCCAATTTACACCCCAGAATCCAAGAGCAGCAAACAGAATGAAGTTTGAAACTCAACCTGCCACAGAAGAGGGATTTGGAGTCACATTCCTACCTCCCCAAATGACAGCAAAACTGATCCCAACGGGTTAAAGGAAATGTGATGCAGTAAGGAAAACTCCTCTGGTCTTCTGGAGCTACCCCAGCACACCCTGTCTGGGAGCAACACCCACTTGAGAGGAACCATGGATGAAGTCCTTGCACTTCTTAGGATAACGAAACCTGGATAAAGTCTGCTGAGTTCACATTCACTGCACTTGCTCCTGCACACTCAGCTAGTTCAGGAGGGAGAGAAGCAGCACAGTCTTGTTTTAGGTATCTCTTAAGGAGCCTAGACTCCAAATTTAGGTGCCTGTACAGCCAACAAGGCTTGCAAAGAACCCAGGCTGGGTTCACATTCCCTCAGCTTTCTTTACAAAGACAGCTCCATAAACTGCCCAAATTAGGCAGTGACAATCCAACCTTCCTTTTAGAGATGGAACAAGAAATGTCTTCAACAGGAATGCCAATAAAGCAAAAGAACAAACTGCATTCTGTTCTACTGATAACACATTTCATATCAAAAATTAACACAACCCAAAAAAGCGAGCTGATTACATGTAAGTAAAAAGATAAGCAGTAACTCAGTTTATTGAGAGTACTCCATTGTTCAAACTGGAACTGGGGGACTGTTCATACAGCTTCCAGCAATGCTCTTTAAATAAATAAGCCACAAAGGGCATACAAAACTCTTATATTTAGCAAAAAACACATTCTTAAGATCTTTCATAAAACTAACAAGTGTGTACAACAGTGGATAGAATTACAGTAACAAAATGCCAGTTAACAACACTGAGGTTCTTCATAGTTTGAACTGCATAAATACTAGGCTTTGTAAAGTGTAATTACTCCAGGTGTTCACACTGAAACCCTACACCTGAATCCCTCTATCTCTCTCCATTAGAAAACCCCTCATTAGAATCATAGTGTGCTTGGGAAATTTTGTTTGGTTTTGAGTTCTGAACCAAGTCCATCAAGAGAAACATTTTATTGTCTATGTGTGCCTGAAGAGCCTGGATTTGGCAGTCAATGTAGTCCATTAGTTTCTTCTCCATCAGATCCAGGTTTTTTGAAATGATCTTTTCCAAATAGGAGCAAATAGGCTGTTGTTCCACTCTGTAAGAAGAGCAAAGATGAGAATAAGTATAACCTATTTCTTAATGACAAGGGGCAATATAGAGATCTGGGCACCTGAACATCTTTTAAATGTGAAGTTTCATTTACCAGGCAATGAACTTTGGAAGGCATTAGGTTTCTAGCACAAGCAAAAACACTGCCTGCCACACTTGAAATCTTTAAATTTTTTTTTCATAAACATGCTACTGTATGTAGTCATTTTCTTTCAACCTTGTTTTTTCAAAGGCTCAAATATGCATTAGAGAGCTTAATTATACAAAACAAAATCCACACAAATCAACAATACACAGAGAGTTTGTATTCTGTCAGCATGGCAGACTGTCCTTGTCAGCAAAAGTGCTTCAAGAGTTATCCAAACTATGCAACTCCCTGGGTTTGCATCTACACTCTTTAAAAATACTGGAGCTGAGATATTCAGTCTCCATGAAATGGTGATTCCCACATCTCACGAGTTCCACTATTGTCCCTGAGGTACCAAACTGGGTCACTGTGACACCTGCACTGTAAAGGCCAGCAAGTGAGGAGGAACAGGAAAATCAGTGATGCAGACCAAGTACAGCAGAAAGATTGTGCCACATTGTGTGAAAAAGGGAAGATGTGAGAATTTAGGGGTAAAAGTAATCAAAATGGAAATATAGTAAATGAGAAAGGCAAGCTAAATGTGTATGAAGAAACATGCTTTTTAAATTAGATTAAATGGAGGTAGAATACAAAACAGTTTAGTAACAACAAATGATGTGACTTCTTCTGAAAAACTCCTACACTCAAAACAATTGTGAAATTGAAAAATTGTAGTGCTCATCACCACATAGCCTTCCAAACCACATATTCTAAGATTCACTACTGCTGCTAATGAGAAGAAAATGCTTACATTACACATTCTGTTTTAACTTGTCAGTAAACAGTCAATACTACTTTTGAGAGATTCACCAAACTGAACTCACCCAGCACTCTGACCACTCTCCTCTTTAGCCACTGCACTCTTCCCAGGGTGCCTCACTCCATCCTTGAGCCGGAGGTGATTCACCTGAGTGCACAAGTTTTGAAGAAAAGGAAGAAGCACCTGTGGGTTGGCCACGTTTGGAGTTTCACCTGCTTGCTGCTGCACTTGCAGAGATCCCATGACTTTCAAATCATTCCTGAGGTCAACTGCATTTTGCTGGGTAGGAAGTCTTTCAGAATCCAACGTATTCCCTCTTTCAGGTACCTCTGAGTTCAGATCACGAGTTATTTTTACATCTTTATACACTGCTTCACTTGTTAAATGATTTTTAACAGGCAAAGATTCACTGGCTGATGGACTCAGTGATGACTGCAGAGCTGCTCTGTGCATTCCATCCATTGCACGGTCACCTCCAAAGTCAGAATTTCTCCCCAGGATCCAACTGAGCTTGTCTCCAAATGGGAAACTGTTCTGGTGGGGAGAAAATCCCATTTGAGTATTGGAGATTTCAAATATACTAGAAATTACACAGCAATAACAATAGATACTTTATAACCCAGCATTCTACTAGTAAAGATTTCAAAAGTAGTTTGAACTACATTTTTTGTAAGTATGAAGTGTTAATCATCTTGTCAGTGTCTAAAAGAAAAGAGCTTTACTGACTTCATTTTTACCATGCTGTATCCCCAAAACTGAATTATTAACCTCAGATGGATTCAGGATTCTGTTGATACACCCACTTTGCAGGACTAGGATCTACAGTAAATGTTCTGTGAGAGCATGCTCCTTTTAGTTGAAAGCCACATGGTTATAATGACCATTAAAGAGAGAAACCAGCCCATTTATCTACACCCCAAACATTCCAGGGAAGATGCCCACCATCCTTGGCATGGTCAGCACTGGCAATGGAAACAGGAAAAAGGAGAGCAGGGTGGCAGTGAAGCTTAAAATTACAACAATGCAAATAATAATAATCATCATCATCATCCTGGAGAACACAATCTTTACTCACTGCACTCATTTGAGTGGCAATGGATCAATCAGGATGGAAATGGCAGAAAGTGCAGGTTAAAAAGCCCAAAAATCTTTTCAGAGCATTCCCAACTGGCAAAGTGCCAGTTTGTGCTTGTGGAAAAGTGACTTACTTTCTGCTGACACCGGACCATGTCCATGAGCTGCTGAGCACCTGGAGACAACTTGGATCCCATGGATTCCATTATAGTTTGCACTCTGTCTAGGTCTATGCTTGAGCCTAGTGAAGGAAAATCAGTTGCTAGTTTTGCAGACACTGCTTTCACTTCTAGAATTATTTTACTGATGAGTACTCTGTGTTTCTCACCAAAGGAGAGCAGCTATTGCAAGAAGGAAAGAAAATACTTTGGTTAGAGAAAAAAACCATTTCATGTTTTCTTTCTACATAGGGGACAATGCATTGCTCTTTGAGTCTTGGGAAAAATTATGATGAACTCTTTTCCAGGGAAATTAAGCCAATTTCTCCTTGCTATTATTCCCCATAAAATTCTGACTGGAACACAGGTGCCTGAGTACCCCAAAGATAAATGAAGTTTTTCTAAGCATTTAAGAGTAGTGGCCACACAATTTTCACAAGCTTATTTAACCCCAGAGCTGACACTTCTAATTCTAGATCTGCAGTTTATCTGGTTTATGGTTTTTTCCTCTAGACTAAGTTATCTGTGTCATATAGTCTTCACAAAAACTGAGATACCAATTTAAAAGCACTCTGCCATCAAGACAAAGTACCAGCCAGCAGATTTTTAAGTGATTATGTGAGGAGGTGAAGTGTATAAAACCAATAATTTTACTAAGAGCAATGCAATTTAGTCGATTAAATGATTAAGAAGATAGAATAAAACAATGTTCTTCAACTCCCTACCTTAATTCTACAGGAGGCTGCAGGGCATTCAAACTTAAGGTACTTGTGGTATAAAGTAACCTCTTCAGTTTCACTAGAAAAATAAAATAAACAAGCTGTGACATCAATTTACAAGGTACTTTTCTTTTGTAGAAATACACTATATTGGTAAATATTTAGATAAGAAACAAGACTGACTGGAACACATTTCTAATGCAGATTTATGGTCTCTAACAGCACTTTTAGTTTCTAGTTTTCAGCAGTTTTTTACTTCCTAACAGCAGCTTTAATACTTATATGCAACTTGTAATGAATCTTGTGAAATATTTATGTAAAAATTACTCGTATGTGTGCTTGCACTGTTCACTAGAGAAGCTTCTGAGGTTCAGTACATTATTCACACATCCTCCCCGAGGCCCTGAGTCGACTGGGTTCTAGTTAGCTAATTAAGCAGCAGATGTGCCATGTAATGACTTAAAACAGAAACACTGCTTTATTTCCCCCGGCAAAGCATGGAAGGAAGTACTGAAGGGGAAAGCAAAACCTTCTTTTTAAAATCTTCTCTCTTGTTCTTTGAAGTGTGAGAGAACATTATCAAAGAGACTTTCACAGAACCCAAGAATGGGCTGGGCTGGAAGGAACCTTTAAAGTAACCCAGTGCCACCCCTGCCATGGCAGGGACACCTTCCACTGTCCCAGGCTGCTCCCAGCCCTGTCCAGCCTGGCCTTGGGCACTGCCAGGGATCCAGGGGCAGCCCCAGCTGCTCTGGGCATCCTGTGCCAGGGCCTCACCACCCTCACAAGGAACCATTTCTTCCTAATACCCCACCTAAGCCTGCCCTCCGGCAGCGTGAAGCCATTCCCCCATCCTGTCTCTCCAATCCCGTGTCCAAAGTCCCTCTCCAGCTCTCTCGCAGCCTTTCCAGGCAGTGCAAACGGCTCTAAGCTCTCCCCAGGCACCTTCTCTTCTCCAGGCTGAACAGCCTCAGTTCCCTCAGCCCTGTCACAGACATCAGCTCTCGAACAGCAGCAGCAGCTCACAGAGACACGGACAGAGCTGCCCGCAGCGTGTGCTGCTCCCCCCACTCACCCCGGCGCCGGGCGGCTGCCGCGGCTCTGTCCCCGGCCGGTGCCGCAGTACTCCTCGCCCACGTACACCTCCATGTTCCGGGCCTGGCTCACGATGCCCACGGACACCATCTCGGCGCCGGGCCGGCACTGCAGCCGCAGCTCGCAGGGCTCCTCGCCGACCTCCCGCCGCTCCGCCACCACGGCCTCGCTGCTGCGGGGGGGAAGCGACACGCGTTGTCCCGCCAGCCCCGCTCCCGCCCGGCCCAGCCCGGCCCGGAGCCCCCTTCTCGCCGCCCGCCGCCCTCACCCGGGCTCGCCGTCCCCCGCACCCCGCCGCAGGCACAGCGCCCGGGCCAGGCCGCCCGGCGGCGCGCAGGGCCAGGAGCACCGCGCCGACACACAGCGCGGCTCCCGGCCTCCCTCCTCCGCCGCCTCCGCCGCCGCGCAGCCGCTCGACATCGCGGAGCCGCGGGCAGGGCCCGGCCGGGACAGCCGGGCGAGGCGGCGGCACCGAGCGACCCTCAGCGGCCGCCGCGGCCGGGACGCGCCTGCGCAGCGCGGGGGCTCCGCGCGTGCGCGCGGGGCAGCGGCGGGAACCGCCCGAGGGAGCGCGGGGAACGGGGAACCGGGAAAGGGGAACAGCTCCCTCATCCCGGAGGAAGGGCACCGTCAGCCCGGAGAGCAGCCTCTTCATTCCGGGGAACGGCCCCCTCAGCCCGCGGGGATGCCCCCCTCAGTTCGGAGAGCGGCCCCCTCAGTTTGGGGAGCGGCCCCCTCAGCCCGGGGATGGCCCAGGGGGCGCAGAGAGCCGGAGTTAATTCGCATGGAAAACCCCTCTGTGGTTTAAATCCAATATATGACCCAACATCACCGTGCCAGCCATACCTTGGCTACGTCCAGGTTTTCCTTAAACACCTCTGCTCCTCCCTGGGCAGCCCATTCCAATGTCAAATCACTCCTGAGAAGAAATTCCTCATAATGTCCACCCTAAACCTGCTGTGGCGCAGCTTAAGGCAATGTCCTCTTGTCCTGTCACTGGTTCTTGGGAGAAGAGACTGTCCCTGAAGTTGTGCCAGGAGAGGTCTGGAGTGGGTATTAGGAAAAGGTTCTTCTCCCACAGTGTGACCCAGCACTGAACGGGCTCCCCTGTTGGACTCAATACCTCAAAAGTCTTTTCCAAATGAAATGATCCTCGGATTCTGTGAAACTTGCTAATATGTCAGAGTTTGGAGCAGCAGGATTCTCCTGAGTGTCCTGACAGTGCACCACACAGGAGAGAGGCTATAAATAAAAGAGGCCATCAATAAAAGATGGGGTTCATTTAATTTGCAGTAGGATCTCACCTTCTGGAGTTGGGGAATGCTGCTCCTGAGGCTGTGGCAGACACAGACCCAGGGAATGAGGGTGTCAGGTTCTGCTTCCACCAGTGCTCAGTGCAGGAATGTCCAGGCTGTTCTCAGTCTGTGACTCTCGGGAAATGGACCTGAATGGGCTTTGACAAGCTGGTACTGCAAATACAGCCAGCATTCTGCTTTTGGGCACTTAAGGCATTGTTTTGTAGCATTTACCAGCAATGGAAAACTGAATTTTCTCTGCTTTAATCAAAGAATTAATTAAAATTAATTAATGTAAATGCTTGAGTGTGTTGTCTCAGCCTCATTTTTGTGTTTCTAAATGCGTGTGATACTTCTGAAATGCACTGCAAACTCATCCAGTTTTAGAAGCGTTTCTTTTCTGCTTTTGGTGGCAGTGTGGCTACCTGGAAGATGATCCTGGAAGAGCAATGATCCACACAAAATTACGGACTTCTGGTGAGGAGAATTGTGTTTAACATAGAAGGGACTGGGTAGAACCTCTGTTTTGGGGATTTTCATGTGTTCATATGCATTATATTTAAAGTAAAGATGAAAAAAATGAAAGAAAAGAAGATGAAATTTCAAAGAGTAAATTGATTCACACTAGATTTTTATTGAGCTGGCAGTAACAGTGTTAGATAAACATCCTAGACACTGTATTTGTCAGTAGCAATATTTTATGTTTGTAATCTCATATGATCTCTCCGAGGGATTAAAGTCCTTTAGAATAAACCAGTTTGATCCTGACACGGGACTCTCCAATCAGCATTTAAGAATGTGCTGCTTTTTATTTGCATTAGGCTGTCTGACCAGTTTTCTCAGAAGCCTGGTGGATTAAATTTTACTTCCCATTTCCTCAGCAGAGATGCAGTATCAGAGAGCTTTTTCTGTTGTTTACCTTTGGAGCACACGGTTCTCGTTCTTCTGGTTCCCTGCAGAGCAGCCACAGCCAGCTCGGATGCTGGAGTAGTTTCTCTGGGAAGTCATGTTAATGCACAGCTTCTTTTTGTTCACTTTTGGACTAATTTTTACTGGAAACCCTTTTTGGATAAAAGGTAAGCTTTCTTTTTTTTTTTACACATTCAGAAAGTTTCTCCAAGTCTGCTTGGACCCTGATTGTAATGATGCACACCTTTGGTGTTGAGCCACAGCTCTCCCTGTGCAGCCCTGCTCACTGAGAGAATCTTGGAAGAGATTACAGGTTGAAACTTTTTATAGTTGAGCTTTTTGTGGGGCTTTTTCCTCCTGGATGTCGTAGGTATGTAAATCCATCATTTTCTGTGCAGAACATTGGTTGTGACAACTGCAGTTGCTGTCCTTTTCATCAGCAGTAGAGACTGTGGAAAAACATTTATTCTTTGCTGATGTAAGGGAAATTCGTACAATTTCATTGAAATTTTTCATTAACTCATCTCCAAATGTGATTTGGCTTCACACTTTAGATTTAAGTGTAACACCTGAAATGTTTCTTAGAAAGTGATATTTTTATGACATGCATCAAAGATGGTTTCCTGCTTTCAGGTGTCAAAATTTGAATTGTTAAAAGAGCACCTCCATGGTTAGTTCAACATACACTTGACTCATGAAACAGAATGGGTTTTGTGATTTAGTTAATAAAATTATTGAAGATTAAGAGCAAAATCACAACATCAAGTGCTGATACTCTTTTCAGACTGGTTTGCTAATATCAGCTTCCACATTTTGATTGCAATTGCAGCCTGTACTGTTAAATATATGCTACCTGCACCTAGCTTTTAAAAATCCTGATGCTATCTAACAGGTAGAGATCATCATTACACTGGAGAACCCTCCTTACTTTGAATGGCTGGTTGTGTGACTTTTTTGCAATTATGAATTCCTTTCACAGGAATGGGGAAGCTGAGGGTGACTTTGTACTACTATAAATGTGAAGAAATCTCTTTGATTCCTTATAAAAGAACAATTTAATAAGGAAAAAGCCACTTCTATTGTTAAAACTCATGTTATTGTCTGTTTAAAAGCAATGGTTGTGTCTCTGCTCATCAAACCAGTTGAGGAGCAGACAAGAAAAAGGAAGATTAATTCAACTTCACACAATTTTTTTAAAAGTCACTGGAGATTGTTTTTTTCTTTATAAAACCATTTACCTGAAACCAGATACTTGGCAGCCTTCTTATCTTTAGCTTCCTGCATTAGCATGTTGTTCTGGAGATAATTCTGATATCATGTAAAAGGCTACAAACCTTTTGCAAAGATCTGACTGTTGCTAGGACAAACAAAATGCAAGATTAGGCAATGGCAGGAGGCAGCGTGGGGAGCCACCTTTTCTTCCACACAGGAGGGGGAAAATTGTATCCAGAGGACAACTAAAAGTATTCCTTATGCAGGACAATGGAGAAAGAAGGCCAGCTGCACCACTTTTCTGTGGTACATCAAGTTAAAAGTGTTGGCCGTGGAAGAAAAAAATGATAAAGTCACAAAGTTAATAATCCAGAATATGAGAGAATTAAGATTTTGTTTAAATGCTTTGATGGTTTTCTTTGTGTGCTCCAGAAGACCCCAGCTTTAATCTGAAGTAACTTTTTTTAAAGTCAGTTTGATCATTCCTGAACTGTTTCACTCTTTGTCCATTTCTGGCTGGATCAGAGTAGGCTTTTGGCTATCACCATGTGCAGGTGCCAGCATAATGCCTTATCCTTTCTGATTCTTTAGCAACCTCAAACTTTATTTTCAGGTGTATCCTCTGAACTCACATCCAGACTTTCTACATTAGAAATAATCATTCCTCGAAGTCTGACAGGCAGAGAGAAACATCCCCCATTTTCTCATGAGGTTTGTTATTCTGATATTTTCTTTTGTTCTGATTGTTGCTGTTTTTCAAAACACTGTTCCACATTATACACACACACAATGAATGGTATATAGAGATTTTTGTAATCAAATGTGCCCCACACTCTCTCTTCTGATTCTTAGTGTTTTCAACTAGTTTTAAGTAGATTTGTTCCCACAAAAGCCTGTGATTGTACTCTGAGTGCCTTCCAAACTTCTAATCCTGTTAATGACCTTGTAAGACAGAAGTGAGAAGGGACATGAAGCATCTTTTCATTTCTTCTGAGTCAGATTAGATGTTGAACTTGAGCTAACATCCATGCTGCCCGTGTTCTAGTCTTTGGATAATAACCAGAGGATTTCAGCACCCAAAGGATAAAAATTGTCCCACAGAGTGTGGCACAGGTTAAGAGATGAGTTAGAAACCTGAGCCTTAATTCTTCAGTTCTGAGGTAACTTACCTTTGTGCCAGATACCGAGTTCGTTTGCTGAAGTAACTGTTAATGAAACAACATTAGTCATCCTTCTGCAAACCAATTAGGGGATAAAAGACTGGGACTCGTTTATTTGATTTACATAAGGAGTGTCACAAAGCATGATGTGGTTCTTAGCAAAGGCTGCATTCATGGACTGTGCCCTCTTGTCTAAATAAAAATACAGATGTATAGAATTTACACTTTACATAGGAGGGAATGTTCACTTTGCTGCTGAGAGTTTGAAATATGGAAACCTGAGAGGTGGGAATCTTGTGGTTTTTTACTTAAAACATACACAGTAGTTGGGCCTCTCTTGTCAAGCAAAACATGGAATAAACAAAACCAAATGGAAAAACGACCTAATTAAGTGATATATTTTGTTCTGTTTTCAGGAGCATTCAGGTGACAATCTTTCTTACTCAGTTAAAACCAGAAATGGAACATACCTCCTAAAGCTGAAGAAAAATAAGTATGTGATAAGAGTGTTCTAAAGGAATTGCCTTGTTTCGGGGCTAGTTACATACAGGGAAGAATTTTTATACTGAAAAAATTCAGAAGAAACCATTTAAATGTCAGATTGTAGCAATTAAAAAACAGCTCTGTTAAATACTGTTAAATATAGTGTCTCTATATGTTATGGTAATATCTTGCAAATAGAAGGGAATAATAGTTTTTCTGGCTTTGAAGAAATTTATATCTTTTTTTTTTATTATTAATAGTGCAAGACAGAACATTGCAGAAAATCCTTAGGAAAAATTAGAATTCAGTTCAATATTAGTTTTTTATTAGCAGGTCATAGGGGTTTTAGCTCTGTTGTATTTTAAGAAATGTTTCTGTTTCTCTTATTCCTCATTCCTGACCCTGCAATAGGCCAGGTCCTTATGCAACTGAGTCTGCTTAGATTCCTCTCTATAGATATTTCAGTTAAAATAAATAATAATAAGTTTCAAAATAATTTATTTTCAAAAAATTCCAGCTAATTTTAAAGTATTTTGTTTCATGTGCTTGGATTTTAATAATGATTTAGCATTGAGTGTGCTGCTAACAGGATGTAGCATTTACCAGGACTCTTGACTTGTTTCTTGTTTGTAGACCATTGAAAGAGCAGTAGTTTATTTTTCTTTCCAGAAAACTTCTTAGTGACAACTTTAAACTGTACACATATGGGAAAAATGGGAAACTGCAGGCAACACCATCCAAAAATGAGGTATTGTACATAATGAAATTTCCCCTTTGTGTCAGAACTTTCTCTGAAATACCAGGGGAGCCAAGAAAAAATAAATTTGCTGGGAATAAGACTTTTGTGAGTTTTCACAGTGGAGCATTTCTGTTTAACAGTTACAGTGATCTAAAGATGAGGTTCATGAGGGACTGGGCTGTTTGTGGGGTGCAGCACCCCTGTTCCCCAAGGTGTGAAAGGATTTGCCAGGAGATTATGCCAAGCCTGAATTTGAGCCACTTTTGCATAATATGCAATTTAAAGTACAATGGCAGCCTCAAAACTCTGTAGTTTTTAAATAGTTTTTAAAAATGTAGCTTTAAATCCTATATCAAACAAGGTATAAATACTTATAATACTTACAAATACTTCTAAATTTAATTCCATCTTTAAACTGCATGTAAGCTCAGTGAGGCTTAATTGGGTGGTTTGTGCATGAAAGATCTCCTCAGAGCAGTTCTTAAGCAGGATGAGCAATGTAGATTAAAAATATAAAAATCTTTTATAATTTTATAAGAATACTATAAAAAATTTATAAAAATATAAAAGATGGTGATGGGTTAAACTAAAAAGCTGGCTGTGTTCTAGAACCAAGGGACCAAAGGCTACTTTAGGTACTCATGTCAAGGGATGTTCTTCTCCAAGAAGGTCAGGATTACTTTCCAAGTAGGGAGCTCTGCAAATCTCTATGAGCCAGCCCTGATGTCATGCAAATAATATGGTTAGTTAGAAAATAAGTTTGCAGTTGAAGGCAGCCACCTTGTTGTGTCACTAATTGTGTGGGTTTGTTGCATTTCAGACACACTGTTATTATCATGGCACTGTTGAAGGAATTGCTGACTCCACACTTGCTCTTAGCACATGTGATGGCCTTAGGTATTTCCTCTTCTTGGTTTTTTTTTAATATTTCACTTTTTGATGAAGCTGAAACTCGTTATAGGTTTTATAGTTTCCTTCAACTCCCACTTTTTTCCCCTTTTCCAAAATTCCTTCACAGAAAAAAAATAATATTAGAGAAATTGTAATAAATATAGGCAGAACCTGGGCATGACCTGAGGCTTCGAGTACCTGATGTGAATGTTGTGACCAGAGATTCCTTTGTAGAAAAAAAATCTTACCTTAATGAAGCTTTTGTTGAACTTAAAACACTCCTGCAAATAACTTCGTCTTATGAATGGGCACATTTCAAAAGACAAACCATTTCCATGAAAAAATTTTGTCCAAATTTGAATCTTTTTTGTGTTTCAAATACAATAAAATCACAAATGGGATGAAATTCACCCATGTATCTTTCAGGTGAAGCTTCACAGAGAGATGTCACTCAGTAAATCAGGACATATCCTGGCAGTGCTTTAAATGAACAGAGATAAGGGCTGAAAGGGACCCTTGGCATCAGCTCTGTACCCACAATCCTCACTCATTTACTGACACTTTGGCTTCATTCTCTTTTTTTTTCTTCCTTTTCTAACTGAATCAAGAAGCTCACACTTGTTGAGTATTTTAAATAAGTTCTGTTTTGTCTTTTATTGGGCATTTGAAGTTACCTCCATATTAATATAATTTAAAATAATTTATTTCAACGTAGTGTCTAAGTATCCAGCTGTTATTCATTCATCTAGTCATAACCACGAGGGAAAAATTATTAAATAATGTTTCATTCTAATATGATTGTTAGGGGAATTCTCTACATTGGAGGCAAATGGTACGGAATGGAGCCCCTCAACACATCCAGCACATTTGAACATGTGCTTTATGAACTGGAAGATGAGCAGGGTATCCCCTTCCACTGTGGGGTGCTGAATGGCAGCCTGGAGCATGAGATGTTCGTGAAGCCGTCTGTGAAATTCACATTTTCATCAAACAGTACCTCCAGCAGGGACAGGCTCCTTAGGGTAAATACATTTCTGTTTCTCCCTTGAGCTGCAGTCCAGGGCATCTCCAGGGCTCTTGCCCTGGCACAGCATCCCTGCAGGTGGGATTGGCCTGGCAGGACATTTCCTTGTGGCCTTCATTTCCATGGACACCAAGCTGGTGGGACCCTGCAGAGGAAATCCTGGAACAGAAGATCAGCATGGGGATCAGCACGGGGATCTCACCCAGCTCACAGAGCAGAGTCTGGCCAGGACAGCCGTGGGCAGGACACGAAATGCACAATCCCAGTGTCTGAGCTGCTGTGAATTACTGACACAGAGGTGTTTGTGGGGTAATCTAACACACACTGAGGCCACGTTACAAAATGCAACATTGCAAACTCGTTATGTTAATTTACGGTGTTTTCTCATTTGCAGGAGAAGCGAGCTGTCCTGCCTCAGAAAAGCTATGTAGAATTATTTGTGGTTGTGGATCACAACAGGGTAATTATATCATCCAACAAAATACATTTGATTGTTTTGCTAATTTTTTTCCTCTGACATTGTTACGGTATTTTACAGTTTTTGCTGAAGAATTCTGATCCTGCTGCAGTGCAAAAGGAAACAGTGGAGCTGATTAATTATGTTGATGGGGTAGGTCAGAAAAGTTGCCTGGAGTCAGTAGTTTCTATTTTGTGACAGTGTTCAGAAGAGCAGCTTTCTTTCCAAAAGATATGTTTAGGTACTTTCATAAAGTAGAGTGTTTTCAGTTATACTTCATTTTATATTCTAAATATTTTTATTTAGTTTACAATTTATAAATATTTTATACATCACTTATAATTGCAATTATCATATTCAAAGAAACTGAAATTATGTCTTGGTCACTATGTGCAGCTTATTTTTTGCTCAGTAGTAATGAAGTCATCTTTCAGAATTCCATCAGAACAGCTGAGGGAGATTAATTATTTATTTATTTTTTTTCAGATGTATAGAGCATTAAACATCCAGATTGTTTTGGTTGGATTAGAGGTTTGGACAGATGCCAACCACATATCTGTAATGGATGGCTCAGCTGGAGATGTGCTGAGTAGATTTGTTTCTTGGAGGCAGAAGGATCTTCTGAAGCGCTCAAGAAATGACGTTGGTCACCTCATAATGTAAGTTTGCATTCAGTGGGAAAACCAGCCATGCTGCCAGCCTTAATGTGTATGATTTGGGGCTTGTATATTCATTAAAATACATCTGGAGTAAAATCCTCTGCATTTCCAAAATGGTTTAACCTGGAAAAATGACAAGAAAGTATAATGAATTCTTAAGAGTTAATCAGCTCTGGGGACAGGGTGACCTCCAGAGGTCCCTTCCCTCCTTAGCCTTTCTGTAATTGAGCACTGACACAGCAGACTTGAGTGATTGATCATTATTTTCAAGCTCTTATTCAGATATTAATAATTAATTAGAGTAAAACCCTGCTGTGGTGATAAATTCCTTCTTGACTTCAGGAAGACCAAATTTTGCCTTGCGATATTTCTTTCCAACTCATCAGTATCTTTTAGTAGAAATCATGAACTTTGAACCCATCTCTAACACCAGCTCCAAACTCTCCTTGCAGAGGGAGGAGCTCTTTTGGTGGATCCATTGGAATGGCTTTTGTGGGTACTGTGTGCTCACACGTCCAGGGAGGGTCAATCAGCACAGTGAGTACATCATCATTTGGGTATGGAAGAAACTGGTCCTTGATCTACTTGGCCAAATCACCCTGGTTGTAGAGTTGGCTGATTTCCTTCATGGAGTTTCTTATGTAAAGACTTGTGCATATTTTACACCTTTTTTTTTTTTTTAAATTTAAAGTACTTCTCAATTTCTTGTCAAATTCCAGCCCATTTGGCTCATTTAATCTTCAACAAATTCCTTTGGTCATCTTTTGTGATTCATCAAACTCAATATTGCATAATCTTATCCTTATACCATTGAAGTTCATAACCACAGAGGTGTTGGGATGGGAATGCAGCTACAAACAAAATAATGGTGGGGGTTTTTACTCTTTAAATAAATAGAAAGTGAACATAATGCACTGTAGTCTCAAGTGTCTGGAATTCCTCACAATAGGACTGTAAACAGGCAAATTTGTTTTAAAAATTAGTACAAAACTTTTTTTTATCTCCATCCTTGGGGCAGAACCAGTAACTCCTGAGGTTCCTGTCCTTAAAGTATGGATGCCACAACACTGTGGACAATCTCAGAAGCAGACTCTGTTCTTTACCAGTACATTTGTTGTTGAAGACTCCTTTGAAATAAGTGTCTAAGTGTTAGAATAGAATAGAATCACACAGAATAAAACCTGCAGTGGTGATCTAGACCAGCTGCCAACTTATTATCCAGAATATGATCCTCAGGGAAGGACTGGCAGAATCGGGCCCTACCTGAAAATAAAATGACAAATTTTCAGTCCTTGCTGCTTTCACCTTGCAATACAATTTGGTGTTCTGCCTTCATAGTCCCTGAGAGTTTTGTGGTGGGAGTAAATCACTGGGTACAAACAGTGTTTTCCATAGTTTCACCTTTTTAAACTGGATTCTCTTTATCAGCTGAATCATGACAAAATGTTACGGCACGCCACAGTAGTTGCACATGAGCTGGGGCACAATCTGGGAATGAAACATGATGATAAGAGGTGTCCTGCATCCTATATCATGCACAGCACAGATAAGTAAGATTTCCACTTATTTCATTTTAACAATTTATTTTGTTTGCAGTGACTGTGCCCTACAAGCTATGAAACCCTTGTGAATCTGGAAGAGCTTTAGTGACGGGGAGTTGTTTGAAAAATTTGAACACAGAGGTGGATTAACTGACTTAGTATTTGACATCATTTTAATTTACATGAAATTTTGTCTGTTTTCTGACCCAATCATTCTTTATTTGTAACATTCCTAAAAACATATTTGGACTTAATTTTTTTTTTAATAATAATGTGTTGCTGGGGTTTTTTCACCCTGTTGAGAATGCTTTACATGTACTCACTGGGTTTGTGCAAATATGCAACAAATTATTTAACAGTTAATTTTAAAAAAACCTTCTTGGCTTATGTTTCCTTCAGTTCATTTATTCTTTGGCTTCCCCTTAAAAGAAAAAGATCATAATATTTTATCCCTAGTTGTATTAATAAATCAGGGTAACTGAACACTGGACAAAACTACTCTAGGAAGGGGCATTCCTCAGTTCTTAGGGACTCCAAGTTAAGATGAATATTTTCCTGAGAATATTTTTTAATCAAACATTTTTAGACTCAGTATAGAATTTCTAAGGCCTGTTTCATACAGGACATCAGAACAGACAATCTGATGGCCTCTGGCCTCTAAAAGCATTCATATAATGCAGTATTTTAAACTTCTAGCCCTGCACTTTAATTCAAAGTAAAATAAAAATAAACTGTTTCATGATCTCCTAGCATTATGGAATACAATATTTATTATGGAACAACAATATTTTAAGAGCTTGAGTTGTATGTTCTCCTGTAAGCAAAATAATATTCTAATTATACAATATTATCTTTTCCAGTGGATCCAGGAATTTCAGCACCTGTAGCGCTGATGATTTTGAGGCCTTTATTCTAAATGGAGGAGGAAACTGCCTTAGAAATCCTCCCAAAACAAGTAATGTGTACAAAGAACCTGTCTGTGGTAATAATGTGGTCGATAAAAATGAAGAATGTGACTGTGGCAAACCACAGGTAATGCATGAAATTGAGCTGGATACTTGTTATTTATATTATATTATATTATATTATATTATATTATATTATATTATATTATCATTGTATATAATACTGGCCTAATTGCATTATTATCTCAGGAGTTTTCAGTGTAATTTTGCATTTTTTGCAAGCAATATAAAAATAAATATTAGTAAAATTTAAAATCATGCTTTGATTTTGATGTGGACTCAGCTAAGGGCTCTTGGACTTCAGAGAAAATTGAGGCACTGCTGAGAAAGAAGTGAAATTCTTGGGTGGGGACTTCACTGGGTTTTGTGCTGGTTTTAGCATCGTGGATATTTCTGTTCCATGACAGAGACTGTTTATCTACAGATCATGTACAGGTTTGTTAACTGCAACCCTTCAACTTTGCCTACACAAAATGACTTTTAAGAGTCACATTTGCATTGTCAAAATGTCCCTCCAAGAATGGGAGGTATTGGCTCATTCTTCAGAAGGTAAAAGTGTCTCAAATAAGGCATTAGTGAACCACAAGGCTGCCAGCAAGCCCTGGTTCCACTGGCATCCCTGTGCCACAAAACAGGTGTTTTTCTGCTGACTTGTACAAACAAAACACAGCAACAGTGTCTGCTGGTTCTTTTACAGCAGGAGAAGGGGAGAATCTGACACAGTTATTTAAACTTTGGCTTGTCCATGCACGTGGACTGGTGAGTACTTTCCTGGCTGTATAAATGAAACATTATTCCCTTTCAATGTTCTCAGGAATGCTCCAACCCCTGCTGTGATGCTGCCACCTGCAAACTCACACCTGGCTCACAATGTGCTCAAGGACTGTGCTGCAAAAACTGCAAGGTGGGTAATGCTTTGTTACACTAAATTGTTACTATTCACTGAGATTTTTTAATGTTTGAAAAGAGCTATCCTAGTCCTCTTGAGGTATTTTCAAATGACATTCACCAGTAAGAGAGCATGTAAGAAGAGAATTTGTCTTATAAATGTTCCCAGTTGTCTTTGTTGCACTCTAGATCTTCCTCTGTTGCAATACTAAAAGCGTTCTCCCCCTCTGGTCCTAGTTTAAAGTGGCAGGAGCAGAGTGCAGAGCAAAACAAGATGTGTGTGATCTCCCTGAGTACTGCAATGGAAGCACTGCCTACTGCCCAGATGATGTTTACATCATGAATGGTCACCCATGCAGCAACAGCAAGGCTTACTGCTACTATGGAGTGTGCCAGAGCTTTGATTCACAGTGTGAATCTATCTATGGCAAAGGTATGGCTGGCTTTTCATGTTAACCCATTTGTAGGCTCCTGATAGACATTTCCAATTTTTCTTTCTGGTATTTTTCAGACATTTTCTTGAAATTCACTATTTTTTTTGTACAGGGGCACGGAAAGCACCTGATATATGCTTTGAAAAAGCAAATATTAAAGGAGATAGGTTTGGAAACTGTGGGATGAAAGGTGGAGTGTACAAGAAATGCCCTGTCCAGTAAGTCACCACCAAATAAAAGCTAATCCTAAAATCTTCAATGTAAAAAAAAAAATATATTTGTTACAAAGCCTTAAAGTGAGGGATTTAAAATAATATTTATTTTAATGCAAGCTGAAAAGTTGGAATGGATCACACTGATCCTGATTTTTATCTGTTCACCTTGTCCCTGAGTATCCTTTATTCCAAACAGGCACAGTCTGTGTGGGAAGCTGCAGTGCACATCTGTCAGTCTTCAGAACCTCCCAGCCTGGAGCGTTGTCAATAATGCATCTGGGGTTCTGTGCTGGTCCTCTGACTTTGACCTGGGATCAGACATCCCTGATCCTGCCCAAGTTCATGATGGCACAGCCTGTGGAGAGAACAAGGTAAGAGGAACCACGGCAGCCTGACAGAATATATTCCAGGTGGGAAGTTCTGAACTTCCAAAAACATTCCCTGGCTCTCTTGTTCCAATGCCATAACACAGTAAAAATCTTTTGAGATTAATTCATGCAAACAATTAAATAGCTCTTCAAAAACTGTGGTGCTACATTATCAGTCATTCTAATTACTCCAAATTACTATTATTCAAATTACTCCATCAGAGTGCATCCACAGAGTTTAGCAAACCTGAGACAAAGTTACAAAATTCTGAAATACTGAATGTTGTATCAGTCCTTTTTCTTAACATGTAAGTGAAAGCTGCAAACTTGTAAGCATATACACTTATGTAGTGTATTTATAAAAGGATGGGATTTTTAAAAGTTTGTTTTGCAAGGCACTAATTACTTGTTGCAGGCCTGTTTAGGTTTTGAATGTCTTGATGCAAGATTCCTGGGCTACAGCTGTGATGTAAAGCAGAAGTGTAATAATAATGGGGTGAGTAGATGGTGCTTTGTGTCCTGTTTCCAGACTCTGCAAATTCCCTGCATTTAAGCAAGAACCAAGCAGGTGGCTTTGCTTTTTCCTGATCTGTATTAAAAGTTAAATCCACTTATTTTACCTGTAATTCATGTTGCAAACCCCTCAGCACTAACTTTGAGAGGCATTTTGTCTGAATTTCCCAAGGGAATTTTTTTAATATTACTGAGCTGGTGAATTGTAAAAGGAAAATATTCCTTTGAGGATGGCAGTCTGGTAATTCCTTATTTAGATATGTCTCTGTGAAAAACCGAAATGGATCCAAAGGTTGTAAAACTAAGAAGGTTTTGCACTGTGATTAGTTGCAGGCAAATAATACAAATATTAACTTAGAGAGAACTACCACGGGGTATCAGAATCCCTCAGTGGTTTGGGGTGTTATGGAGGGGCAGAGCTTATTCCCAGCTAATATTTCATGTATTTCTATACAATACTATGCAGCATTTCTTGTTTCCACCTGCAATTCCATGCATGGAGCTCCAAATCCATGCCGAAGGTTTGAGTGGCCACTCTCAGGGAGGTGTTGTCTGGCTAATCCCTGTGTTTGTGTAGGGGTGTGACAACACTGGGAGCTGTCCCTGCCTGACTCACAGCTCCCTCTTGTTTGGGCTGTAGGGGTGTGACAACAACGGGAATTGTCCCTGCCTGACTCACAGCTCCCTCTTGTTTGGGCTGTAGGGGTGTGACAACAACGGGAATTGTCCCTGCCTGACTCACAGCTCCCTCTTGTTTGGGCTGTAGGGGTGTGACAACAACGGGAACTGTCCCTGCCTGACTCACAGCTCCCTCTTGTTTGGGCTGTAGGGGTGTGACAACAACGGGAACTGCCACTGCAATCCGGGATGGGCCCCTCCGTTCTGTAACCAGTCTGGCTACGGTGGCAGTGTGGACAGTGGCCCAGCTCACACAGGTAGGACACTGAAACTGGCCCTCATTCTCATGACTTAATTCTCAGGAAAGTAATTCTCATTATTTTCTCATGCCCCGGGGGCTGAGAAAATAGTCTACTAATAATAACATAAAAATAATCTACTAATAACATACTAATGTTTTTTTCTATTGCATGAGACATAAATCATGGACTGACTTGAAGAACAAACATTATTATTTGATAATGAAGTAGATTTCACTGGCCTTTACACACAAAATGTTCTCTATCTCTTTGTCTAAAAGCAAAGTTCATAACCCATAGTTTTCTGAGGAAAACCTGTGTTACTTTCTGCAGATATTTATTGGATTTTACTAAATTTGTACTTTGGGAAAGACAAAAATGGTTTTTTATTTATTAAAAGTTTAGGAAGGCAAAGCAAACATGCAGAGCACTTGTGGTAAGCAAATACAAAATGAATTTGCCTGCTTCAGAATTATTGAAAACATTTTATGGAAAAGAAAAAACGCTGCATATACATAGGGTGGGTAAGGCAGAAAGAACTTGTAGTACCATAAGGCCAAATCCTACTTTTCTGCTTGCAACATATTATAAATTTCAGTGAAGTTAATTCTATTCTGCAAAAAATTTGAAGATTGTACTTTTTAAAACAGAAAAAAAAGTTCTAAATTCCATTATTTCAATTCTTTTTCCCTAGACACATCACTTCGGGATGGGCTGCTGATTTTCTTCTTCCTGGTGCTGCCTGTAGCCATCCTCACTGCAGTGGCAGTATTTAAACGTGATGCAATAAGGAGAAAACTTTGCAGGAAAAGCAGAGGACAGCACAGGTATTTCCCTTCTTACAGGTGTTATTCCAGCTATAGCAGTGAGGCTTTACCTACACAAAATATTCCACACCTCCTGAAGTACAGGACTGCCCTGCTAACAGCAGCAGTGGGGAGTTTACAGCCCTCCCCTGCTCCTTGGAAGTGCAATCCAGACACTCCAGTTGTCTGTTCTCAAGCATTTTTTTCCCAAATCCATTGCACTTTCCTAATTTTTGTTGATAATTTTATTGTATGGACACAGGGGCAGAGCATATTGAAATTTCCTGTTAAGTCCAGAAAAGGATGGACTCAAAGCAGGGTCCAGACCTCTGTGCTGGAGCTGTGTTCTTGGAAAATGCTGCATCCCTGAAGGATTCCTGATGATGTGGTTTCTGTTTCAGGGATAACAGTGGGCAGGAACCAAAGCAAGGCAACAGAGCAAGTCATGAAACAGGAAATAATCAGGTAAAATAGATGGGGACTTGGATTATTTCATGCTGGGCAATCCAGACTGCAAGGTGCCTTCTCTCCAACGCAGCTAATCATGACTTTGTGACTTTCTGATACATTGAAACCACCTCTGTTATTTCTTAGGCCAAACAGTGGAGATGCTGCTTAGCCAGGCTGTGGGTCTAGCTCTGATAAAACTGAATAAAAATTATCAAAAAAAAAATATTGCAAGAGACTATAAAGAAAGCCCCAGCAAATGAGAGTCAGTTCTAAAATGACATTAGCTTGATACTAAAGAATTATCTACACTTTGTGTTTTCTGCTAACCTGATTTTCTGCAATGTTTTTTCCAGCCTGCTGCATCAAGCCACAATATTTTTACCACATTGCATTTCCCTGGTACAAGGTTTGTAGTGTTTAAAACCTTCTTCACTTCATCTTCCCTATGTTTATGTTGCTGTAAGTGAAGTTATTGATGTCCTGTGTCCTGCTTAGGGGGATTTTTCATGCAGCATCATGAAATAGATGAAAGATTAGATTGGATTTAATTAATATATAAATTAAATTTACAGTAATTAATAGATTGATTAGATTTAATTAATAGATTTGTCATGCAGCATCAATCATAGATTAAAGGCTTGAAGGAAAAATGTTGGCATAAACACAGGTAAATGCTGCAAGGGAGAGGAAGGGGCAGAGAGAATTAGGTGAAAATGCTGGAAACTGTTAAAAAATTGTAAAGAACCAGTTTAGAAATATCAGGTGTCTCAAGCCATGAAATACTAAACCCAATGTGTTTTCCACACTTCAGGCAGCCAGTCCAAACCCAGCTTCCTGCAGTTTCCTCAGGACCCCAGCGACCCCCAGTCCCACCTAGACCAGTTGTCTGAGATGTTTCTTGGGAACCCTCAACCAATTCTGACAAAAAAGTGGCCTGGAAAACAAATGAAAGGATTTCAATGCTCCAGTGCTCTCCTTGTGCAGCCAAAATGCCTTTGGGAAGCTCCTGGAAGGCCTGGGTGCCCAGGGGCACCGAGCCCAGGTTGGTGACACCCCAGAGTTCAGCTCCTTGCTGCTGGCTGTGTTTGTGCCTCCTCTACCTCAGCTTTTACAAATGAGACCCTGGAGCTCCCCGTGCCCAGGAGGGAACCTGGGAGAGTGTCAGGGAACAGCACTCTCCACGCTGCTGCTCCCCCTCAGGCCACAGAGCAGTGAACTCTGCTCTTCACAGACAAAATTCAGAGATGGGAGATCTGCGCTTCGCCTCCTGGGCTCTCCTCTGCTCAGGACACTGCCAGCAGCTCCGAGGGCCTGCAGAGCCAGCTTTGGGGACAGTCCCTGTGCCTGCCCTGCCACCTGCCTGCCATCAGCCCCCAGAGCTGGGCACAGAGCCCACCTCTCACAGCCAGCCAGGTCGGCTTCCATGTCAGGTCCTTTATAAAAGTAACCTCGCCTGGGGACACCAGAAACCCTGCAGGTCATGTCCTGAGTCTGAAAGAACCCATCCATCTCTGTGACAGAAATTATGGGATGTTGGGAGATACCTCCACAGTTCCACAGTGGTTCAGGGTTTACTGGGTGTTGCAGCTGGGCATTTTTCCTAGAAACTGATCCCACCACAAAAGCAACAAATTTAACTTCTGTCATTCTAAATGGGACAGTTAGAAACCAGCACTGATTTCAGAGAGGATGTATGGAGTGACATAATTTTCCAAACAGGCTTTCATCAAATGGATCCAAGAAATCCAGGGAAAGTCTGCAGCAGAAGGGAGCAGCAGCTGCAGGGCAGAGAGCCAAGAGCAGAGCTGTGGGTGTGCATCCACCTGGCCCTGGGGCTGCAGCACACCTCAGGGCTAATTTCAGAGTACAGACTGGGAAAAAGAGTGAATAAATGACAGGATTGCCTCACTGAGAGAGTATTTCCAACGCCTCAGATGGCCACATCACGGAAAAGCTGGAAAAAAAGAACCCAAAAGAGATTGCTGGCAAAAAGTCTGTGTCCTCCAAAGAAGTGTCCTCTTCCCTGATCCCTCAGACTCTCAAACTGATATTATTAAATATCCCTGTCATTTAGATTTCAACCATAGTATGACACTGATTTTATTTATTTATTACATTACAATTTAAAATAAATCCTCAGGGGCAGCACGCTTGGTTGTATCTTTGTTTTGTGATCACCACAAAAGGCACCGTGGGGCACGGGGGGATGGCTCAGCCTTGATGCTCCAGGGGGGAATAAAGAGAATTCTCGTGCTTATTGTGATAGCAGAACTGGGTAAAAAATGGGTAAAAGCAGAACTGGGTAAAAATGGGTAAAAGCAGAACTGGGTAAAAAATGGGTAAAAGCAGAACTGGGTAAAAAATGGGTAAACGCAGAATTGGGTAAAAGATGGGTAATAGCAGAATTGGGTAAAAAATAGGTAAAAGCAGAACTGGGTAAAAAATGGGTAAAAGCAAAACTGGGTAAAAAATGGGTAAAACCACAAACAGATAAGAAATGGGTCTAACCCGAACCGGGTCAAAGATGGCTCGAACCAGAACCGGGTCTAACCCGAACCGGGTCAAACCGAACCGGGTCAAAGATGGCTCGAACCAGAACCGGGTCAAACCCGAACCGGGTCAAAGACGGCTCGAACCAGAACCGGGTCAAACCCGAACCGGGTCAAAGACGGCTCGAACCAGAACCGGGTCAAACCCGAACCGGGTCAAAGACGGCTCGAACCAGAACCGGGTCAAACCGAACCGGGTCCAAGGGGCCGCTCCTGGCTCTGTCGTTTGCACCGAACCCGCCAGGGGGCGCCTCGACGCGCTGGCCCCGCGCATGCGCACAGCGCCGGCGGAAGCGGCGGGACCGGCAGCGCTGGCGGCGGAGCAGCAGCAGCAGCACCGGGGGAGCGGCGGCGGCGCCCGGGTGGGGCTGTGCCTGCTGTGCGGGCTGCCCGCCGCCGGCAAGTCCACGCTGGGCCGCGCCCTGAGCCGCCGGCTGCCGCAGCGGCCGGGCTGGGCCTGCGCGCTGCTCGCCTACGACGAGCTCATCCCGCCCGAGGCCTTCCGCCCGCGCGCGCCGGGGGCGGGCCCGCAGGAGCCATCCCCATTGGTCAGTGCGGCTGCGCTCATTAGCCGGGGCGGGCGCGCCGGCGTTGCGTCACTGCGTGCGACCGCGGTTGCCGGGCAACGGGACGCGGCCGGGCCGGGTCTCCTCACGGCGAGCCCGGGCCCGGAGCGCTCGGCGGCGGCGATGCGGGGCCTGATCGCTCGCCTTCCTCTCTCCACAGCTTCCCGGCTGGAAGCAGAGCCGCCGCGAGCTGCTGCAGTGCCTGGAGGGGTTCCTGCGGGCGCTCCTCACCGGGGCGGCGCTGCCCGCGCCCGCGCAGCCGGGCTGGCGGCGCTTCCTGGGCTGGCTCCGCCGGGAGCGGCTGCTGCCCGCCGCGGAGGGCGACGCCGGAGCCGCCTCCCGGCCGCTCGTCCTCCTGCTGGATGACAACTTCTATTACCAGAGCATGCGCTACGAGCTGTACCAGCTGGCCCGCAAATGTAATTATTGTGATCTCCGGCATGAGGATGTTTGTAGGGAATTCAGCTCCAGGTGCCTTCTTTCGAGTGCTCTCCCGGAGCGTGGGTTATTCTGGTTGCTGGGTACCTGTAATGGAGCAGCAATCAATGTAGCTTTGTTACTGCCTTATTATAAAGTGGTAGATCGTGTAAACCCCTTCCTAGAGCAGCCCCGAAGCACCTTCCAGTGCATAAGGAGGCTCCAAGAGAGCTGGAGAGGGACTTTGGACAAGGGCGTGGAATGACAGGGCAGGGGAAATGGCTTCCCACTGCCAGAGGGCAGGGGTGGACAGGATATTGGGAATTAGGAATTGCACTCTGGGAAGGTGAGGAGGCCCTGGCACAGGGTGCCCAGAGCAGCTGGGGCTGCCCCTGGATCCCTGGCAGTGCCCAAGGCCAGGCTGGACAGGGCTGGGAGTACCTGGGACAGGGGAAGGTGTCCCTGCCATGGCAGGGGTGGAATGAAATTATCTTTAATAATTATCCCAGTCCAAGCCATTCCATGGTTGTGTGTGTTGATCTCAGACATTTCTTGTGCAGCCTTGAGGTAAAATTCTGTTCCCTGTCCAGATTTGTGTTCATGTCAGGCTCAGAAGCAGAGCAGAAGCTCCTCATTCATGTGGAGCCTTTCCCCTGCATGCTGCTCTCAGCAATTGTTACTTGAACTGTTTAAAGATAAAATTCCCTGGTTCTGTTCTTTTTAGATTCCTTGGGCTTCTGCCAGTTGTTTTTAGAGTGTCCAGTGGAATGCTGCCTGCAGAGGAATCGCCTCAGAAGTGATCCTGTGCCTGAGCACACCATACAGTTAATGGCAAGGAAAATAGAAATGCCAGATCCCAGGAAAAACACCTGGGAGCAGCACAGCCTCATTCTGAGCAGTTCTGATTGCATCTCAGAGGATGAGTATGTTTCTCTTGATCCTGTGGTTTTCCCTAAGTGCTATTTTCAGAGGTAGAAGCTTCTTATTGTATCTGCACAGTGTGTGAAAAGTATTGCCAGTGGTGATTTTTGGGAGCCAGGCAGTTACACAGAATCCAGGCTTGTTGGGAGCTCACAGCCACCATCCTCTGCAGGGTTGACCTCAAACCTCACAGCATTCCTACCCTGTCACTGAAAACCTGTGCAAGTTGTCTGAAATGCTAAGGTTGAGTTGTAATAATTTGAGTTGTAATTGTTTTTAATTTCAGATTATTTCACCGATTACCTTAAAAAATTAACTGAAATCTTGCTTATCTTTTTTTTTTTTTTTTTTCCTCATTAGAGAAGAAAAGAAGTGTTTGATTGCCATGGTTTACTCTGTTTTCTTAGTGAGCAGATCATGAACTTGCTGGCCACTGCTTTGGCAAATCCAGAGAGGCCAAACGAGGAGGACACGGAGCAGAAGGTAGCACTGCTGGGCTTCAGGGCACAGCTCTGGCTGCTGCTGGTGCTGCTGCTGTGTTGTTCTCAAATGGCACTTCCAAAGTCAAGTAAATTCAAAGTGTCTGCTTGTTTTCTTCCTTCCTGGTGGCCCTGGCCAGGAGGCAGCTCGAGCCATCTGTGCAGCCAGCGCTGTCCATCAGGCTGACCAGGCGTGCAGGAGGATCATCTCTGAGGCCATGCAGGATGCCAAAGGTACCTTCTGCCCATGCCACCCATCCCAGCTGCCAGCTGGCAATGGGAAACAGCCCCTGCAATTCCCTTGGGGTAAACTGCCCAGGAATCCTATCCCAGCAGTGTGCCCGAGGCAACACCTTCGCAGCTCTGCTCAGTGTTGTTTGTGGATTTAAAAACCAGAATCATATTTATTAACTGTATTAAGCACAGCTTTAATAAAGCCATTTAGTACAGAGCAGCATTTTAGAGGAGTTTAATACTGTTTTGGGACACGTGTCAGTAAGGACAGGGGCAGATTTGTATGAGGAGCAGCTCAGTGTCCTTAAGTGAAAAGCTCAGCCCTGTGCCTCTGTTCAGGCTTCTCCCTGTGACCAGGGACAGGAGGGAATGGCTGGAGCTGTGCCAGGGGGGTTTAGGTTGGATTTAGGGAAAGGTTCTTCCCCAGAGGGAGCTGGGAATGGGCACGGCCCCGAGGCTGCCAGAGCTCCAGGAGATTGGACAGCGCTGCCAGGGTGGGATTGTTGGGATGCACTGGATGGTCCTGTGGGTCCTTTCCAGCTCAGGGTATTCTGTGGTTCTGTGGATTTTTTTCTGTAAGCATGAAGTTAAAAGTTCAGCTTCAATTTTCTTTTAGGTAAAAACCTTCTCCCAAGTGAGATGAAGAGCCTGGCAGAAGAACTCAACAAACTGAAAGGAGAATTTTTGGATGACTTGAGGCAAGGAAATACTTTGAAAACTCAAT